AACGCGTAACTCGAAAAAAGTTGTTGAAGAAGATAATCTGTGTTAAGGCCATACCCTAGATACATTAAGACACAGGATTACAAATTCTAGAAGGTAACAGGTAGGTTAAAAATTTAAAATACCCTATGTATATTAAGATAGTTACGAACCTAACTAAGAACAAAACAACTTTGAACGTCACCTAATCCAATATAAACAAATAGTATTAATCAATATGTGCGGGTACGTAGAAATCTAGATTTTAAATTTCTATTAAATATAATATTCGCTGTTCTGATTTCTTTTTCACGTTATATTAAATCAAACTAAAGTAAGAAATATTCTAAACTACAGTTATACAGTGTTATATCCTATAGAGTGAAATGTATTGAGCTGAATAATAACTGAATGAGTTTATAGGAAAGTAGGATAGATGGTCTAAGAAATATGGATTTCAGAACACGATCGTGATCATTATCCGAATTCATTATGAGAGAATTGGAGAAAATATGTTTCCGTTTTAATCTTTAAACGTTGTTTTTAATTCTTTCTCTCCGGCGAAACCAATTCTGATGTACAATGTACAATATTAAATATGTACTTAAACGCGTTTAAACTTTAAAAACATCAAGACAGTCCAGGTACTAACAGATAAAACTAAATTTTTACAAATATTATCTAAGTATTTTTACTCACAATAATATATATGTATTAATAACAACTTATTGATACGTTGATTTGTATGTCTTCAATATTTATGCTATAATTTATAATATACTATATTATGGCAAAACTGTTCAGGACTAGCCAAATGTTGCTTTCACAGTAATAACGAATAACAATATCATAACATAAGTTATTCGAATATGTTTGTTAAGCATTTTATTTTTCTAACATTTAATGTTTAAACCCCAAATATGATACATAATGCATTTATGAAAATTGCAACACACGTTTATTAATTATTTAATTTATATAATATTCTACTTTTATTTTCATTTAGTTTGTTGTGTTAAAAATTCATAACAGCCATTAAAAACCCACTGAACCACTCAATGAATTAAGTTGAGGAATTACAAAATGTATTAACACAACAACAACCAATATTTCATACATATTTACAGGCACGTCGTTTATTTATTACTTTTGGAAATAATTGTTTTATTCTCTAATATTAATTGGTGTTTTAACTTCCATGAGAATTTACTATACGGTGAAAGGTGAAATAAACATAAAATCAAGAACAACTAAAATGCAAATCACGTTCGTTCTATTTTGGATTGAATACACATCCATTTAGGATTATTAGTAAGTTAAACAGACTAGATGGTTTCTAAAATTTTTTATTGCACAGACAGCTTTTAGCAAAATACTGTTTCGCAATGGTTGTTATTGAGCAACCGTTTTAGAATTAAGCTATGCATAACACAGCAATTTTTATTAAAACTACTCATGTAGGTAAAACCCAAATGAATATGCTAAGCATTAAAAAAAAACCAACCCTGGAAGGAAACGAAACACTAATGGTTTTAACATTAACATTTAAATAATGGCAAAATACCTTCCACGAATACGCTTCAATACTGATACAACGTATTGACCTTTGAAAATAACTTGGACAAAATTATAATTTTTTAAATTGTATACTACACTAATTGATACGATTACAAAAGTAATTTCCACTGTAAACCTTGAAAATCTAAATAAGCTGTGGACACGTAAGTAGAAATATCACCTCAATTTATTTTATACTTTTATTATTTTAATTTTAGGTAAAAAAATAAATAATCGTTTTCAAGCATTAAAACAAGATAAGTATCCAAGCGTCGAAATTAGTTCCCCGAAGTGACTAATAAATTCATCGCATTGAATTTACAAAACAACGGCACCACGTATGACAGTGTAGCTGTTTGTGTGAATTGCATTCAAAAGACATTAACATTAAATAACTCTTCTGATGAAAAGATACTTATAAAATCGTCACAATTACCAGTGGTGTTGTGTACTATCTTAATGTAATGCATAAATACCCGTAAAGATTTAACTTTTTTAATTGGATATATTTTTTTTTTTAAATGTGGTGTCATAAGTGGATTTTTGAGAAAAATTGCGGTATGTACCTAATTTCTTCCTACACATTGTGTACACATATTGGAAACCAGAGATTCATAGTTTTAATTTTGGAAGACCTAGAAGTTTAATACGTATGATGGTATGACATGATTTTTCAAACATCGCCCCTTTACAATTTTAAAAATCAGTAATACACGTTCTTACGACTAGTTTTGATTCATTGTAGCTGCCTACTCAGAACATGTTTAGAATGACTTGATCTGTGTTTTTAGAACTTATCATATTATAAGTGTTATCAACTAAAAAAGTTTAAAATGAATTAATGTAAAACCGAATCAAACGAAAACGTATAATGAACTCGCTGTTGATACTTTACCCTTTAAATACCAATTTCGAATTTTTCAAATCATTTTTTTTCAAAAACTACTGCTACTCATGAGATTAATTATTCAACCAATTGTTGACAGTGCCAAAAATAACTATTAGGACATATTATACCACCGTTATTTAAAAGGAACTGAAGCGGTATCTGGCATGTGTGGAAACTTACTGGATGTCCCAGTGGGACCTAAATGGTTAAAACACAAACATGTATTTGTCTCAGTTTTTAAACTTAAATAATGCATAAAATGGCGTATAAAACGGTTTCTAAGAAATATAACAGACAGTTGTCTGGGATAATTTGTACGTTTACGTAGACCGTAAATACTTAAGTATTTATAAATAATATAAAATATTTAAGTCCATAATTATTACTGCCGGTAACACGTTTCACCCATGTAGGACGTATTTAAAATTCTAACCAGGACAACAGCTAAACAAGTCCGCAACGCCTACTTTTTTACGGCTGCGTTTTTTCTTGACCTACCTACTTATTTTGTTCAAATGAACAAACAAGTCATGCTAGAGAAAATTATGGACGTTTAATTATGAATGAACCCCTTTGTAGAAATTATGTTCTTTTTTACCACGGACACTATGAAGACTGAAGTGGTCTCTTTGGTGCGTCATATTATATACAATATTAATAGAAGAGTACTATATCTACTAAATGGTGTGTGAAATTACTAAATTACTGTATATTATATATTCTGTTCTCTAAAGGGTTTGCCCTTGGTTCTTGGAGAATATAATATTATACCTCCGCACGTCACAGACCACAACATTGACTACCTAGTTAACTTAATAGTTGTCAAAATTATTTAAAGTCACTAAATTCCTTATTTGACGTTAATAGTAAATGCTGTTTTAACGGTTAACTAATAGTATGTTTAATGTCAATTGCATTGTTTAAAAGAATATTACATGGATTACTGGACGTGCCGGATTATCGTTGACCGGATTACCGATAATCTACTGTATTTAAAATATGCTTTTAGCAGTTGGATCCGATTGAGTCAATAGTATAAAAGTGGTTATGTATTTTAAATTAAAAGTGGCATTAGTTAATTGAATAATGACATCAAATTTAGCTTATAAAGAGGCTTTTTAAAACACTTTCCCTTTTACTGTATGCAAATTTTGTTTAATAAATTGTGATGCTTTATATTAGACTGTTAATAATTACACACAAGGTAAACAATGAGTCACTTAATTATAAGAAATATTAATCATAATTAAATATTTATATTAAACCTTCTGACAAAGCTAAAAAAGTATAATAAACGAGCTAAGGAATTTTGATACTCAATTATGTGGTTTTACATTATTATTATAAAATTACTAAATAATTTACCTTTTTAGTTTTTTTAGTGGTCTACCAACTTACTTAAATGGTAACGTAGGTATTTAACTATTTTTTAAGTTACTGAAGTTTAAAATTTAAGACAAGAGGTGGAATGTGGTTAAATAATGCATTCAAATACAAAAATACTACTACACTCCACCTTTCCTCGTGCCCTTAATTTCACCCACAAAAATATGTTATATACATATATAAATTATTATATATAATATATTCTTTTTATAGATATTTTGGAAAATGTGGGAATTTACTTAAAAAAAATTTTTTTTATGTCTAATTAAAACACATTTATGATTTTTTTGTAAACCAGCAATTGTAATTTTTTTTTTAAAGAAATATAATATTACATTTTTATTAGCCAAAAATTAAATACTATTTCTACTATAATTTGTGTTAAAATTTCAAAAACACTTCGTTATATTTCGTTTATAAAAAAAACACTCAATGTTTATGTTTGTTTTACCTTTGTTTACCAAGTTCCTCATTTTAACTTTTTGTGTCAGTTTTACTAATTTATTACTGAGTCAGATTTTTTTTTTTTTTAGCTAATACGCCTTGAGTTTCGATTCTAGTTTTCGTTTCTTTTTTTTTTTAATTGGTGACAACGTAAATATTTTGTAAGGAGGAGTTAAGTTGTCAATCCCGGGTCATTTAGTTAAAAATGTCGAGCCGCTTTGGAATGGAGCTACCCGCCCACGCCTCTGACAGCGATATCTGATTAGGTATGTCTTATAAGACGAGTTACATATTATTATACTTGAGCACTGCGGCCGTTGCGTGTGGTTAACAATTTATTTATCAGATCCCACCGACTTGTCAAAATCGGCGGTATTTATTATAATTTATTTGTTATCACCGAGCATATTATAACAAACAATAAAATAGATAAGGTGGCAATCATAATGTTATGTACGCCTATGTAGGTACAGTGCTTAATATCTTTACTGTTGTAGCGGCCAGTGAAAGTGAGCGGTAAGGCGCGCAAGCGTTCTGCGCACAATAACAATACCGGCGATGACGATAAAAACACATTATTTTAATAATAATAATAATATTTAAAACCGTGTACACATTTTACATGTTTATAATATACATTATATCAAAATCGTACGAGAGCAGAAGTGGGCATTCGGCTGGAAGGAAAAGTGGCGTTCCCCCACCGCTAAGATTTTAATTTCTTTACTACCCGACTGTTGTGTGTACCGACGAGACAGGACTAGATAGTGACAGGAGCCGCACATACAAACCGGCAGTGTTGGCTTGTTGCTGTTCATTACACGAACCCAAACGCAGAAGCGATGACGGGAAAAGCTGCTGTGGCCGTCGCACTTTTGTGCTTGTTGCAGGCCCTGCAAAACTGTGAGTACTTAACGGCCATATTTATTATTACTATCTTCATTAGCCATTATTGGCAATAATCTAACTCGACGTTCGTCGAGCTAGTCGAATGCACTTATCTAAACTCAGTACTTTCGTTAAATCTCTAAAATTATCGACCGATAGGTAATTTTATTTGTATATAAATGTGTATATATATTTTTTTATCATTAAAGAACATAGAAAATGTCTTAGGTCAGTAAGATATATATTAATTCGGTGAAAATCTGAAATTCCGGATTATACGACTTGTCGGTTCATCAGGGTCCATCTTGAACAAGTCCTATTGCGTAAAATTGGCAAACGTAATTTTTTCGATCATCTTAAGGCCAATATAAACTGGATTAATAGTGCTAGGAGTTTTTGGAAGTGATGGGATACGCTATTAGCTATTTCATAGGATTATTATATAGTCCAAACGGTTTTTATTTTTATGTACAAATGACTGGGTTATGTATAGATGATAATGCGTGAATGTTGCAAACAAGACTATAGAGAAAAGGAACAGTCTATGTAAACCACGATAGTTACCGAACGTGTGGTAATATTAGTTGTTACCGACTCTACAGGTAGTAGAGTATCTAAATAGCAAACATAATATAGGTAATACATAATGTGCAACGTACACGCATTAATAAAAATATATATGTTTATATAATTACAACACAGTGTTTTCAGAATCGGAATTATGTTCACATAATATCTGTGCATGTATTGTTGTGTATCTACATAATATTATAATCAATAGGCAGTGTTTACCCTTGGCTAATTAGATTGTCTTCTACGACAAATTAGCATCTGAATCCAACAGGGCCAATCGCAAATGTATCAGCTGTTGAATACAGTTTAGGATACTTATATCCAAAATGCAGCTTAACATTTTATAAAACACCTCCAAGTTAATACACTAGCATAATCATGATTATCACTTCAGATACTAGTTTATGCGGTTAGAGCGATTTTATAATGGTTTCGGGTCCAATCTAGACCAGGTGTTCCCATTATACATATTATCATCTTAACTCGACAACGTGATTTGTCAATCGCTTAAACCACCAGATTCCTAACACATGATTTTCTTAAGTTTGTACATGATCGTCTCTATCTTTGACCACTATTCATTCGCTGTGTACCAATTGATCAGACCTAAATGCCAACCGATTCGTTTCGTTCGTATCGTTTCTTTGTTGCTTTAAAAGTCCATTCACGTTACCCAAGAAAATTAGGTACGGAACGAAAAACGATTGGCAATCTCGCAAACCGTTAGACCTTTCATTTGGGCCGTCAAACACTTCAACTTGTCCTTAATGCATGTACTGTGCAAGCTGAAGAAAATGCGATGGCGGTGTAATTATTGTCATTCTTGTGGGTTTGGAAAGCGGTGACGTTATTTCATGGTGCGCACAACCACAACAAGCAATAGATATCGCGGTAAATATTATAATTCCAGTGTATGCATTTGGGTATGAAAAATATAACAAGCAGCAGATTTTCTCTTTTGGCCGGCGCACAAATACCTGCAGTTTTGTCCACCACGGTTTCCAACGCACCTTTACTCCCCCGGTCTGTAGACATCAGGCCGCTACCGCCGCGCCGCCTTCGAACAATGGCCCCAAAGTACTACGTGACTTGGCGAGCGACGCAAACATCGCTTGGAAATGCACAATAATTATTAGTAGTATAATAATAAAACAGCTGAGAGGCGGCGGCGGCGGCGGCGGCTTACAATTTATTATATATTTTATTATTAATATTATTATTAGTGTGTGTTAATACGCGAATGCGCAACACGTACAGAATGAATGAACGGATTTCGTTCGTTGGGGCGCCTACGGTCGACCTCGACTTGGCTTGTATTGTTTCTTTGTATTGTTTTCATTAAAACAATATATATATATATATATATATACGAGTATATGTATTTATATAATGTGTATATAGAAGTATACATATTATAAAACGTTGTTTTTGGATAGGTTTAAAGTCCATGCGCACGCCCGCAGTGTACAACGGACGTTTTACAACAGCGTTAAAATCTCCAAAAACGTCTTGGCGGCCGCCGATAGTTTTTAGTTTTTTGTACGTTATAATGATTTTCTTTTTATTGCAGGCAATGGGTTTATGAAGCCCAGGGAAAAACGTCAAGCTGAAGAAGCAGACGAACAGTCGGTGGACGAACTATGTAAAAACCGTCCTCCCGACGAATACTTCCGCCTGACCACCGAAGGCGATTGCAGGGACGTTGTCAGGTACTGATTCGAACGACTTTTTAATAACTTTGTTCTATCGTTTGTATTAACCCTTCAATGCAAAATTTGCCAACACCTACAGCTTCACGCCGAAGCTAGAAAATTAAAATCAACTCATTTACCGGTACTGAATTGTTTTAGATCACTTGTTTTTACTACTTTTCAGTTGTTCTTACTAGGTTATTTCTACAAATGTTTTTCATTTATAAGTTATGACTTTAACGATCAATATCGCGTATTATTTATGTTGATGAGCATTGAAGGGGTAAAAATATTATATTTGTATTTTATTATGTAAATTAATCCTTCACAACTGCACACACTCGTTGTTATCTACTACAGGAAAGTTTCACCGGTAGATTTCTATATTATGTTGTGTTACAACTACCGTGCGGGCCAGGTCCTGTACTCGATTGAATGTTTTTTGTTATTTTCAAAGTAAAAGCTGTACGGTCACATTCATATTATACACCTAATTGGTGTTGCTGGACCGTTCGCTTTCACTTTCGACCGGACGCAATAGCGACTCCTGATTTTTTACCGTTCAGCTTACACATTGTACACGAATGCGTCTAACGTGTATCCGAGGCGCCCCAGCTTGGCGGAGAACTGTGCTTTTCTCGACAATACTATCCTTAAACAATCGGTTAATCATCAATATATTATCGTATTCACTCGGTATCTCTGGATCCAAAAAGCCCCCCACTCTCCCCCATAGTGAAAGACTGCGGCGCCGAAGTCTAAACACGACAAAATTAAAGGCCGGGACTTCTAACTTTTGGACTCGGTCGACTGCTTTTTTGAACTCGGGCGCCATTGGCCATCGAAACACGTTTCAGGATTTTTGAAATGGTCGTGTGGAGGATTTTCAAGTAGCTATATTTAAAACACTGTCGTGGGGTGTCCGTGTCGGGCCCACCACCCCGGTCTATCGACGATTAACTGCCATAAAACGTTTGCAATTTGCATAGCATACAGTGTTTGATCAATTCTGATTGATGCCCCAACAAATAGGTGCGACCAAGCTGGCGAGAACGGCATTATCCGTCTCGCGGGCGTCCGGTGCCCACAAGGATTAGCTTTTGACATTGAACGTCAGACTTGCGATTGGAAAACTCGAGTGAAAAATTGTGACAAACTAGATAGTAAGTACAACAACGACCGGACGGATTAAGTTGGCTGAGCCTGAGGGTGCGGTTCTGAGCGATATACCATTGTTATGACTTTTTTATTTATTTTTAATTCGGAATATTTTGCAATAATTGTTGCGCACGGCTCCAAACATGACTGATCGCATTCCGGTTGTCAAAATAACGCTACAAAAGCAACTTATAATATGATGCGTTCGTAATAATACGAATAATATTAATAATAATGAACGTTACCGCCACTACTTTGTCATGGAAATAAGAATATAATATATATTTCATGAGGCGCCCCCGCGTCTATTTGTCCTACTAACAAGACCTAACACAATATAATAATAATAATAATGTATTACTATCTGTCGTTCACACACACACACACACACACATACACTCAGCCAACCCATAAAACAATGTTTTGGTTTCATGTTTACAATAATATATTAATAATAATAATAATAATTCATTAACGGTGTTTTATTTTTATGAATTCTTATTGCATCTATTTTTGTCTTGCGGCTAAAATTAATCTATTTTCAGCATACCATCATCATCGTCGTTCGTACCTATGTCATAATTAAAAAAAAAAAAACGATTAAAAACTTATGTAATCATTTTTTTTTTTTATAAAATCATACTGCATGAACGCATTTTGTCCTTCAGGTGCACTAGAGCCGGTATAAAACAAATCACTTGCCCGTCTGGTTTGGCGTTCGACATAGATAAGCAGACTTGTGATTGGAAGGGTAAAGTCACCAACTGTAACCGTTTGGACAGTAAGTGGCGCGATATTACGACGGTTTAGAGGTGAAGGACTGAGAGTGTGGTGCGATTTGTAAATTGGATTAAGAAACAAAAATAGCATTATATCAAATAGTAAAAAAAAAAACAAAACAAATAAATAATAATAAAACTCAAGTAGTTAAACAAACAACGCAAAACCTGTGCGCCAAACACAGGTAGGCTTTCGTAGGTGCCAAACCGTAGAACTAATACCGTCGACGCTCAGAGTGTACTTAGAACGCATATATAAGTATAAATAATATCCTTGCATCGTGGCTTCATAATAATACGTTTTCCGTTTTTGTAATTAAATATGGGCGCTATTTGTGTTCTTTTTAACCCTATAATCGTTGATATTATGCTACCTCGTGCATCTAGCACTTATTTAAATTAACCAAAGAGCTTTTGTGATTGTTTAACTAACATTGTTTTTTTTTAAACAAATAACCGAAATAAAAAGACAATTAACTACAAGCTTAGCAAAGGGAAAAATACAACATTCGCCAAAGCATGCATAAATATGAATTTAATTTTTAAAAATGTCATTCTAGGTACCTAGTGTTTTTTAAATAATATATACCTACCGTGCGTTTAAAACTGACGTGTTTCTTCGGTAAAATGTAAAATAGAATCACTGAAACATAATCTTTTTCTATTGACGGTTTCAGCTGTTATTTTTATTGCATTCTATAATTTTTTTATATGGTATTTCGTTAACTGCTTTTTGATATTTTTCTGTACTTTGGGTTTAATAGCACAGAAAAGATGAAATTCGTTTTTATCTATTCTGTAAATGTCGCTTTTTATAACTTTTGAAATATGAGTTTTAAATTTTACCTTGGTTCAGTTGACTTAAATTAGAATGTTAGTTTTTTACAAAACAAGAAAACTCTTTAAAATGTTTTAAAGTTTTGCCCAGAGGGTACCATTTTTAAAATAACGTTTTTATTTATTTCATGTCAAGCGGTCTAACTAATTTTTATTCATAATTTACACTGATCTTTTTGAACCCAAGGTACAGATTTATATTTGTATCGCCTTAACGCTTTATAGAACTGTGTTAGATCTACTAGCACTGTGCATCGCTAATCAACAATATTATCATAATTCAACGTCATCGAACGCATTAATTAGTATCTTACTGTCTGTATTTGACTAGCTTGTGACAATTCTATTGAATTGGAACAAATGTTAAATGTAACTGTTTTTAAAGCCATAATGACAATTTTTATATTAACTTATTTTATATGAGCCCTTCTTCTCATAGTTATAAGTCCAAGACGGGTATTCTGATTCCGTAAACCGATGCGTATATGATGGCGTTGAATGCACTAACCGTTTCAAAAAGAACCGATAGTTTTTAATCGCATGGCTTTTTTTAGAACCTAGAAAGGCTCTGCCTAATCTGAAGACAGACGAACCGGTGTGCCCCAAGGACCAGCTGCAGTGCGGCAATGGCGAATGCATCAATAAAGATTTGTTCTGTAATGACAGGCCGGACTGCAAGGACGAGTCTGACGAGAATGCTTGCAGTGAGTGTCTTATATGCTACAAATATTGCACTTCTTACTCTTATTGACTAAATTATCATTTGTGATCTAGGCGTGGAGACCGACCCGAACCGAGCGCCAGACTGCGATCCCAACCAGTGCGTTCTTCCCGATTGCTTCTGCTCGGCCGATGGTACCAGAATTCCAGGAGGACTAGAACCCAGCCAGGTAAATTTCATCGATAGGAATAGCTGATGTACCTATTGACTGGACGCCGAACGTACGATATAGATAGAATACCACTGAGCGCACTACACCCTAAAGCTTTAACAGCTTCATTCATGTTTTAAGATTATCTCTCTATCTTTCCAAATACATTTTGACATGAATATGTTTTATGGTGGGGGTTCTGTCGAAAATCTGCGTCGTGAGTTTGACCTAACCTAACCTAAATTAGCGACATCCAGAGAAGAGAGGAGCAGGGAGGGGAAAGAAAAGAGAAAAACTAACGAGTTTTTTTAATGTTAATTACCCGCTAAAAAAGTCTCAACCACATGATTTTTTAGAAGTATGATAAAAATATTATGTATGTCACGATTTTTAGTTGATATATATTATAACAATTAAAAAAAACAATATCCCTCCTCGGGGTATATTATAATATATTATTTTTTTACTATAGTATCATTACACCATTGGACCCAGCCTAGACTTACTGATCTAGTTAATCTCAGTCCTATTTACCCTGTACTACAAGTACTATAGTTCCCGGTGGATATCGATTCTCTAAGTCTACAAGCATGTTGAAAATAATACTTATCGTAGGTTTTTAACAAGTATGTTTAAAATCGTTTTCAAACTCTAATCAGTGTCGGTAGAAACGTTTGGGATGTTAGCTAAGGTCCAGTAGTCTTTAAACTGGCTTAACCGTTCGACTGTCGTTGGCTACAGGTACCGCAATTGATCACCATCACGTTTAACGGAGCCGTAAATGTTGACAACATGGATCTGTACGAGGAACTGTTCTCCGGCACCAGGATGAACCCCAACGGATGTTCGATCAAGGGCACGTTCTTTGTGTCGCACAAGTACACCAACTATGCGTTCGTCCAGGAACTACACCGGAAAGGACACGAAATCGCGGTGTTCTCGCTGACTCATAAAGACGACCCTAAGTACTGGACGGGCGGTTCGTACGACGACTGGCTGGCCGAAATGGCCGGCGCCAGACTGATCACCGAGAGGTTCGCCAACATATCCGACGGCTCCATCGTGGGCATCCGGGCGCCATACTTACGGGTAGGCGGCAACAAACAGTTCCAAATGATGGAGCACCAGTTCTTCGTATACGACGCCTCCATTACCGCCTCACTGGGACGAGTGCCCATCTGGCCGTACACTCTGTTTTTCAGAATGCCGCACAAATGCAACGGTAACGCCCAAAACTGCCCCAGCCGAAGCCACCCCGTGTGGGAGATGGTCATGAACGAATTGGACAGACGTGACGACCCCACGTTTGACGAATCTCTTCCCGGTACGTATTAGTCTTATCCGCGTTCGGTTCTGATTCGGAAACAGTGGAAATCATCAGTTCTGACCTCGTAGCTATAAGCTGTTCGTTTTAAAAAAAACGTCGTTTGTGCCCTGCAGGTTGTCACATGGTGGATTCTTGTTCGAACATCGCCACCGGCGACCAGTTCGGTCGCATGCTCAGACACAACTTCAACAGGCATTTCTCGACCAACCGCGCTCCTCTGGGTCTCCATTTCCACGCTTCATGGTTGAAGAGCAAAAAAGAATTCAAAGACGAGCTAATCAAGTTCATAGAGGAGATGTTGAAGAGAAACGACGTTTACTTTGTCAACATGTTACAGGTAAGTCAGCTTAAAAATGACTTTTTTGTGTTTGCCCTGTCAAACGGATTGACTTGAACCGTACACCAAACGCTTACTACCAACACCCGGCGTATACTTAGAAATGATTTAATCAAACGTGTCATTCGCATAGGTTATCCAATGGATGCAAACGCCCACCGAGTTGGACAACATGAGGGACTTCACGGAATGGAAAGACGAGAACAGCAAGTGTGACGTCAAAGGACAGCCCTTCTGCTCGCTGCCCAACCCGTGCCCTTTGACTACCAGAGAACTCCCAGGAGAGACGATCAGACTGTTCAGCTGCATGGAATGCCCCAATTACTATCCATGGATTTTGGACCCGACCGGCGACGGTTTTTCTACTAGGAGGAAACGAAACATCCACTTAAATTTCAAAAACAAAAACAAGTTCGTCTAGTCGCAATTCAACAACGTAAACTATAAAAATGAAGTTTATAATAATAGTTAACACCTCATAAATTGTGATTTTTGTAATTATTATATACATCCTTTGTAATATGTTAATGTTGAAGCGAAGAAACAACGAACTTATATCATTTTTTTAAAAAAATACATTTTTTTTATATAACTATGCGAGTACAAACGTAAGCCTATAACCATAGGTACTTAAATTATTTTTAAATACAATTTTATTTCTATAATTTTTGTACACTTTTGTTAATGTGTTTAAACTATAATCTTGTATAATGTACCTATTAATTATTTAAGTAGTTGCATAAAAAAATCCAATAATAAATAATGTATAAAAAATATACCTATAATATGATAAAAAAATCTCGTTGGTAAATAATTGATCCGATAGTAATTGAACTAACTTTTTGTTTTAAATCATATCGAGGTCAAAAGTCAGTTGTCCTATTGCTGATCCGTTGTTCATACTGATATGGTTTTAATTTCACAGAATTTATTAATTTTTCTATTTTTAAATAATTAGACGAAATATACTCAGATTTAATTATCAACAATGTGTTTTTATAAATAATAAATAAAACATTTAAATATAATTAAATTAGTTTATGTTGTTTAACATTAATAAAATACAAATATTTTGAACTTGAATATTTAAGTTACGATTATAATACGTAATAATGTGTCGTGATTTACTCTTTTTGACAAATGCACAGTCGATAAAAACTATTTATACTATGATTAGTATATAAAAAAATTAAGTTGCCAATAACTATAACTTATAAACAACGAACAAATATTCTTGTAATCTCATACTTCAAACAAATACTAGGTATAACAGTAATAGTGAATAATTTAGAGCCATTGTCATTTACTAAATGGCGTTAAGAAGTCCCCAATATTATTACCAAATTATGATTATTATAAATACTAACTGATAACTTGAAAAAGCTGGCCAAAGACCTCGGCTGTCGAGGATTAAATGAATAAAATATTTACTTTTAAATTTACTGTTGTCAACTTGTGTAGTTTGGTAAATATACTTTTTGATTTTCAATAGTTCACCAATTTAAACCTGAACACTCCTCTGCAAATCAGATGTCACTCACCTCTCGTATACACACAGTCCATATTTTTAAAAGTTATTAAATCAAAATAAAATTTCAAAAATATAGGTAGTGTATGTTCACAAAAATGGAGTAAAATATACATATGTGTACATGAATAAATAAAAGTGCATTTAAAAATATTCATAGAAATTCTTATCTTTTTACATACAAACATAATCATAATTTAGATTTTATTAATATGTTTTTTGTTATCCTGAGATGATCATTAGACTGAACTCTATACAGTTGTGTTTGGTTCAACCAAACATTACAAATCTAAAATTCGCAAATACAATTTTTCAGCAATATAAAATAACATAAAACTTTTAAATAACTTATGCAATATTACAAAAGAATCGTTTATAATAAATTATAATGCAACAATACTATAAATCAATATGCATAACCTTTATTAGTTTTTGATCAATTATTGCTCCAAGTTATAAATCACTAAAAATAAAATTACAATGTTTATATAGCCCATTTTGGGTATCAAAATTAATAATTAAACAAACAAAAATTTCAATATTGAAGAATTCAAAATCCACAAAGTTGGAGACTCAAACTTAAATAAAAATTATTTCAATAATTTTATAAAATTGAAACAAAAGTCTAGTAGGAACAAAAAATGTATCCGAATGATCTAATTTTTTAAATAATGATTCTTTTTAAATGAAAAATGGGAAGTTTTTTTTATATAATACTGTTACATTACTCTTGATTCACTGGGTCATCAATCAGACTTTTCTTCAGTACTTTCATCTTCAAGTATTTCCTAAGCATAAAACAAAACTAATAATTATATTTCTTTAACACTGTTGGCAACACAAGCCTATAACCTATGATTGTACATAATGTTCGGTTAGGGGTGGTACTATTACCACTTATCATTAAAGGGACTAAGCTAAATAAATTGTTCACCAAAATAAGGCAATCCATTTTTTTATAACAAAGACATAATAAAATATATCTACTAATAAAATACTATACTTCCTTATAAGGTGTGCTTATTTAAATTGTATATTTACACCTTTACACAATTAGTGAGTATAGTTTAAAATGCTAATACAAAATATTTTAATAATACAAACATATTAATATAAATTACTAAAAAAATTTGCTCAACAATTACCTTTAATGTGTTCACAAGATCAGTCGTTTCTTCAAGTAACCTTTTACACGATACATTTTCACCAGACAAAGCCATTACTGTAGCTTTTAACCTTTGATTTTCTTTTAATGCATTTTGCAATGCTTTTCTACGACGTTCTGCAATTACCTCCCAATATTTTTCACTAGGTCCAACTAAAAATGATATATACATATATAAATATAGACATCCTACTATTTTTAACTATTATAAATGTATACTGACCAGTGGAAACAAGATCTTCAAAAACTAGCTTTTTGTAAAGATTTGGATTTGTCTTGGACAAAGACATTTCATTTTCTTTAGATTTCATATCATTTAAACTTATTTCTAATTCCAATTTTTTCAAAGGCTTTGCTTTTTTTAAATCTTTTCTAAAACAATAATAGAATAAAATAAAATAAAAATGTGTAACCATAATAAACATTTTATAAATAATTGTGCAATATTAAATCGAACAATTTCTCTTGAGATCTGCCGGATCCTACAAGGTTTTCTTTGTTTTTTATAAAATCTGCTCCGGGTTGTAAAGTTTGAAGACATTTTCTTGGGCCTTTTTTTTTGTCAGAGGTCTGAAAAAAAAATTAGTCAATTAATGTCTAACTATGGAAAGTAATTATTATAGACATATGTCCCACCCTAATACTACAAATTCATAAAAAAAACATAAGTGTTTAAGTACAATGCTTTTATTGATATTGGTATTTCTACCATTACAGATTCGCATCCAAGCGTTAATTTTAAAGAAATTTTATCACTTCCATTTGTAATAATGAATATAGAATTGTGACCTCCTAACATCAATATGCTCAATGCCTCCATCTCTACTATGTTCTGACCCCACATTACAGGATTATTTTTTTGATGTATTATTATTGCTATATAATAATATATAAAAAATATGATTTGTTTTTTTTTATTAATAACTTGATTGTAATAATATAATACAAAATATACATAATTTTAATAATTAATTACAACATTGCAACCTCCCCCCCTAAAAGCAAAGCTTGTGCTGGCGTAAGAAATAAAATAATCTATTGAAGTAGTGATAAGAATACAAGATGTTTTAATCATATTGTTGTGGTATTCAGAAATACTAGTGTCCTATGATAAAATATAGTTCTGATATAACTGATCACTGATATTTTTTATCACCTTAAGGACAATCGAATTTGTTTGAAAATTACTAGTGGACCATTTTTACCTATTGTACATTCTTTGATGAAAATAATAGCAATGCAATCTGTAAAATAGTTATAAAATTATAAATTATTATTATTTTTAAATATTGTTTACGTTATATATCTGGTTTTTGTACCAAAACAAGATTTATCATTTCAAATTTAAAAAAATGAACAACATATTTTTAAAATATATAAAAAGAATTGGATAATTTACCCTTTCTTTTTATTGCTTATTGGTATAACCAACTGAGAACAAAAAAATTAATTTGATGAATATTTTTGTTTGTTAGCAATAATTTTGGTCCCCCTCAACCCATACATATGTAATGCTGTCGTAAACAGTCAACAGTAGTATATAACATTGGACAATATTTTATAGAAATGTCCTATTTTTTTTATTAGACACATATTCCCCAAGTATATTTTTCCTGCCCTGATTATTCTTTTCTAGAACAGAGTATAGTTTTGATATCCCAAAGCGTAAATAATATGGTTTCAATAACTTGTACAAGTGATTACAGTAATTATTCATGACAATTGATTTTTTTATTATAACTACCAAACAAAATTTGACAACACATTAATATAGATTTTACCAAAAAAAAAACCCCATACAAAATAATTGTTTTAAAAACCAAGAGTGTGGTAAATACAAATCTCCAGTTTTAATTAACGAAAAATTATTCATTTCTTTTCATAATAATGTAAGTAATATAAGTTGCACGAAACAAGGCAAAATCATTTGTTGTGATCAAATAACTGCCAATAACATGAATATTTTTGAGTCAACCTAATTTAGTTAAAATTTTAATGCGAGTTCTGTATGTACCTTTTCAGACAGGTGTATAGCTTGATTTACTGAAATATTTTTCATCTCTTATCAATCTTTCGCACCAACTTTGAATAAGTACTTGATGGTTGAAGCGCTGATGTACGAGTAGCAGTTGTGAGTTTATTAAATTAAAAACTTCCGAACACCAAACGTCCAACACAGGTGCCTACTGTCTACCAAGTACCAACTATTGGCTAAAATGTAAAACAACCAGTTAAATTAGTATTAATTTACAAACATAACGAGTAAAATTTGCAACATCATTTTTTTTTTTTTTTATTATAAACAAAGCTCAAATTACCAATTCACTTACTTACTGGCTATTTAATAAACAATAGTGGACGTCGGACAACTATATAGTTGTCGATTTTAGTACGGTGGAGCACGTGCCTGACAGAATGAAAAATACGGCAAAAAAAAAATTCGATAAATAAAAATTATTATAAAATGAAGACGACCGACAGAAAAAATGAGAACGAAAACAGAGAAGCTACAAAACCGTTGTCCGTTAAATATTCAAAACGAAATGTATTGTGTGTACACTGTCTCATAGTCAATATCATAACAATATCACAGGGTATGCCAGCAACTTGTGATAACCACATTGAGGATGCCGCCGATCTTGGACGGCCGTGTATTTCTTATAGGAGACCAGCGACAACCATGTTGTGTAAACTGACAACTTAAAATGCTGACATACCATGTTATTTTCCATGACCAACACAATACTCATTGCTTCTGTTATTCTGTTATGAAGAGAGGGGAAGATATGGACAGAACAGTACAGTTTTACCACTTTTACAATATTTGTACGACATTTAAGTTTCTCGTTATCAATAATAAGCTGTATTGATGATAAAGGCTTGTAAGTTGTAATATTTTAGAGGGAAAAAGAGCTTAAATATTATACATACCATAAACAAATATTTGAAAAATCCAAGGAAAAAAGTAAAATCCGGGACACTGATTATAATATAAACGTTTTAATTATATTACATTAATGCGGTAAAAATGTTGACAGTAAAAGTTGATCGTCTTAAATTTTTTCTACTTAATAAAACAGATATCCCACATACTGTGTACATAAGTACATCAATATTATTAACTTATATCATTTTTCTAACAAATATCTTACATTACTTGTTTGATTACGTTATTAACATAATTTATCCACCATTAATGTAAATCGTTATTACTTATTATATCTATGTCACATTCTTTTTATGTATTATTCGTAAATTAAAAATATCTTTTGTATTATACTAGTCCTCAACGAAGTGATTCTTCATTTTATTTTTGGCACAATGGCCTCATTTTAACAGTGTGCAGTGTCGTCTTTGTATCTTAACTCTAAATACTCACATTTTTTTTATAATAGCTCTAAAATCGCACAGTGTGTTCATTTAGTTGCTTGTAATAAGTGCTCGCGTTAGCTAAAAAAATACACTAGGTTTTTCAACTTCCAAGTCATTGTAAATCCATTATAAGTGTGGACTTCTCCGCATTTGTTAGGTACCTACATACGCTTTACAAATAACACGTTCATAAAGTAGGTAGGTACATACGAAGTTATGTTATATAATTATCTATTCCATTTCCCTATTGTTTATTATCTCAGTTAATTTATTTTTTACAATTAAAAATAATTTAACCCCACTGTAAGTTTTTTTTATTAGAAGGAACAGCTAAATAATATTTTTTACAAACAGTAATTAGTATAAAATAGTATAATATAAATATTATTTATTTTTGGTGATTAAAAGCATGTATAATAATTAATAATAACTTATAAGTAATAACATAGGTAACGAAAAATGTAAAAACTTATATGAATAACTCAAATAAATAAAGGTATAAAGATTTAAAGATATTCAGAACACCTGTAGCACTGTTTATACATATACTAGCATTTTTTAGATAATTTTGTATTTTTCTACTGTACTTAATCACTGGATAGGTACTCTTTAGGAGTGCTTAAATTGTATAGTTTATACATTTTTTGTCGATTTCGATTTATTTGACAGTAACCGATTTTATTTTTTATATTATATTTAAAATGTATGTACAAACTTACAATATTTTCTAAGTACTGTAATTCTATTTTCATGTTTTGTAAACATAATATTTTCAATAGGTTTATAGATATACAATTTAGCAGTCATAAAGAGAGTTTACCTCTCAAAACACTGTTTTTTTTATGAATAATTTATATCTGTATCATCAGAGAGTTATGGTACCTAGACTACTTTAAACGTCCTAATTCTTAACTATTTCCAAAAATATAAACTATTATGTACTTATGTTTTAATCATGGGTATAAGAAATAAAGAAAATATATATAGACATCAAGTCGAAAATATATCATGTGTAGTAGGTGTCAGGTGAATGCTATAATATATTATATTCGTATTAGCATTGAGTATATATTGTATACAATATATACTCAATGGTATTAGGTATACCTAATACGACCGAATAAGTAGGTAACATAATAATATTATAATTCCTAAATGTGTGTATTTTCTTTTTAAAAAACAAACGACTTAACATTTATTTGTATATGACAAAAATAAATGAGTCATCGAGTTAACATATAATAATATCTCTTGGTAAAATAAAATTTCGTCTGACAGCTGCTAACTTTATGGTTACAAAAATAAACCACATCACAACTTATAGTACAACCGTTGACCTCGCTACACAAAAAAAAAAAAATACACTCAATTCTCAAAGCATATTAAAATTACATACGACCGTCAACCGTGGGTGTATAATAGTGTTATATTATAATTATATCATTTCACTTAGACGTATACCACAAATAACAAAAACACTAAACAATAAACCTAATACAAGATTTGTTTCTAAGTATAATGGTTTATAACTCTTAGAATATATACCTAAATCTAACCCCGATTCATGATTTTTTTTTTTTTTTCAATAACGTTTCAATCATAGCTCTATATAAGCGGATAGTCCTTACGTAATAGTTCTCATAATGTGCAGTGCCTCAGCTGGTTTTTGACTTTTCGGTTATGTTGACCTCTCTTATCATGTCTTTTAAAATGGTTATCGCTTACCGGTTATCAGCGACGGTTATTATTTGTTTTATCTTACAGTGGAGGTAAATACATAATATCGTAATACAATAGTCATGACAGAAGTAAGAACACATTTTAACATTTAGTGATCGGTATCGTTCATCCGTCAGTATCTGCCCAAAAACCTATTAATTATATTGTTATTTAATTGATGGGTCAACCCGATTGTTTTCGTTGTATTTTATAGTCATCATGAAAACTACATCTGTCGCACTTGGAGATTTGGAAACCGACAAGGTAAACAATTCAAACCTTTAATGGCTATTGTATGAAGTAATGTTTCGGTTTTAGGCAACAGATAAAGGGATGAGGAAGTTTTTGCAGAATCTTCAACCATCTAGTGGTGGCAAAGAGAATTTGGTCGGTGTCGGAAGAATTCCACAAGAGTCAACGTAATACAAATTATTGTACAACAATGTTTTAAACTTCATCTGAATAATAATCATATGTATGTTAATTTTCAATTAGAAATGCTAAAACTGCCATTAAACCAGAACAGGTTTTCACAGACATGGAAGTTAAGATGAAGGACAAGAAAGACAAATTATCCATTGCTAAAGTAAATCCTTCATTGTATAAAAAATTGATCATTGAAGATCTTACTTCAACAGGTGAGTACTATTTTGCCTATATTATGTTAGAGCTGGAATTATTGACTCAATATCTGTTATTATTGTATAATTTTCTTTTTATCAGCCGGTCCGAGCGAAAAATATTGGGAAGTTATCGCTGAACGTCGTAGAAAAGCATTAGAAGAAGTTTTAGACGAAAATCGCAAGCTTCGGGACTTAGTAACTGCATTAGAAAAAGAAAATGCTTCGTGTAAACAATTATTAGAAAATACAACTGATCTTGTTAATACATTAAAGGTATCTATGATATATTTTACATATCTACTTGGTTCAATTCAATAGTTTTTTTTTAAAAAGAAGAAGTTTAAATTTCACCTAAATGATAAAATGTGTAAATTATATTTAAATACATTTTGAATTTAAACAATTTATAACTTTAAAGTTGTATAACAAACCGTTGTAAAAATTGTAATGGAGAAAATATATTTTTTATATTTTGAATAGTGATAAGACAATTAAATTAGGAGGATACATTTACTTTACTCTAAAGGCAGGCGCAGCACACGGGAGACTTTTTGTCTTTGTTGCTCTCCATTAGGTTAGGTTAGGACAGTTTCGTTGCCCTTCTGTCGGCGACCAAACCACTGAAAAGTTGCATCACTTCTTGTGCGCACCTACAGTCTTACTGTATAGACTTTGTAAAAAAGACAAAATAGTTGTGCAACAAAAAGTCTCTCGTTTGCGCCCGCGCTTGGGTTAGATTTCACCAACAATGTCAATTACGTTTAAACATTAACTAACCAATTTTAGGCAGTTAACAGCTAACCACGATTAAAATTATTGGTTAAATTAAGCCAAAATTGTAACTAATAAAAATTAATTTTCCTTATGTAGTAAGTATAAAATAATTGAATCCAACAACATTGCCCCTGAAAAGTCTTAGGGATTTTAATGTAAGTTCAAAGTCATATTGAGATCAAAAATTTTAGTAATGATAATATGTTTTCCTTCAATAAATATTACTGTAGACCAATCAGAGTCTAAAAACATTGTTGTCTAAAGTACGTTTATAGTATTTTAAATGGTTAGCTTTACATTTTTAGGTGTAATTTTATGTTAACTCTTAACCAGTGACGTGTGATACCGCTACTTTGGTCTTATTCATTTGTGGCTTTACCTTAATGTTTGGGTAAAATCCAACAAATGTGTGTACTAAAGATTATACAACAAAATATATATTATGTTTTATTTCAACTGATAAGAACGAAATTGATCTAAGAATAATCAGAAATATATGAGATACCGCACGTCACTAGTTATGATTAATAAACTATCATTAAAGTTTACATAGCTAAATAATGATTCTTATTTTGTCACAGGATGTTATAAATGAAAGTTATATGGACGATGATGAAGAGGAGACGAAGAGTGGCCAAGGAGATAACAATCAGAGTTCACCAGAAAGTTCTCCAAGTGAAAAACACGTACACAAAAAAATGAAAACACTTGATTCAGATAGCGATTCACATTAGTTTTTAGTTTATTAAGGATTCAAGAGACATTTTTCTACTCTTTTTTTTTTTTTTTTAGTTACTATTTTTAATAAATTAAATTTTGTGTTATCTATATATTTATTGGTTCCTACAATTAATATTTTTCATAATTTAATGTATTAGATTTCTTTTTGTAAACATTAATTTTGTGTAAACATTAACATTTTTCTAATCATTTCATGTAAAGCTTAAGGTAATTTAGTAATTTATTTTGTTTATTTTACATCCTTTGTTCTTTAATTAAAGGTTCAGAGGACATTTTTTATACTGACTTATTTGTTTATTATGATACTTAGTCAGAGGTACCAAGATTTATTTGTATATCAAAGCGCTCAGTAATCATTAATTATGTGTTACATTTAGCAATTTGTTCACAAATATTAATAATCAAAAATAATATAAAATGGTTTGTTTATTGAACGTTTACACGTATAATGATAAGTATTAAACATTAAAAAAATGTTATGAAAAGAAAAATTTATTTGTTCATGTTTACATGTACATTTTTTATTTTTACTTTAAAAACTATTGCTCTACACTGAACGTAAGCATTTTACATACCAACAATCAAATAATGTTTTTCTGAACTTGCCTTGAAAAATGTATCCTTAAATATATACATACACTTAACGTCATTTTATATTTATTCTTTTATACAACTTGTTTATTTATTTATTGTATTTGAATTTAACAGTTTATTGAATATTCACAGAAGTGTAAGTTATATTTTCAACTTTTATTTAAAAAATGTATGATTCTTAAACTTTTATTTTCCACGAAACTTTTTTAAAATGATATACATAAAACTTTCAAAATACTTGGATGAGCCTTGGCAGTACTTAAAATAGTTATGTGTAAACATCTTATTAGTTTTAATAGAAAATTCACAACGAAAAAAATAAGTTATCATGGCCGCTGTATTATTAGTTGGCGATTGAAAGTTAATAAAATTGGTTAAATTTTATCACTTAAGTACATTATCTCAATTATAATCACTTTTTCTTTGTTACGCTCTTACATTTTTTCTAATATTCTATATTATTTGTTTTATTTTATTAATATTTACAACCGTGACATATAGACAAGTAATAAATTATCATTTATCACAATATAAATTTTTTTAAAACATTCACTTTTGCTTGGACCCTGGTAGTTGGTACTATGGTCTATGAGTCATTAAGGGTAGAACGGGTACTATAGAGTACACATCAAAAACCGAAAACTTGTTGAGTTGGGTTCGGACCATAGGCAGCAAATCCCAGTAGCCTCGGTAGGATTTTATTCAATACAAATAATGTATTTAATGTGCATGATAAAAATAAATTAAGGGAATACATTTTGCACAATGAATAATAGTGAAGTCTTCCTCGAGTCAGTCCCGTGTATTTACTAGATAATAAAAAAAAAAATTGGCTTTGTTTACCTGAAAAATCCTTTTTTCTTAATTTAGGGTTAATGAAAGAAAATATCAAACTTGATTGGATAATATTAAGAGGTGACTCAAAGCTATATTGTTGTCTTCCATTTGATTAACACGTGTGCAGTTGATACCTTTTTTTTTACTACATCTTTTTCAATTTTGAAGTTACAAATTACAATATACGGAGTAAGCTACTTGGAAAATTTAAAAAAATTTAATAACACTACTTAAAAGGTCATATAAAAATAAAAATTCTGTTTTTTTAAGTTAGTAAAAAAATCAGTGATAAATCTAATATGTTTTTAAACAATTTTTCAAGGTTTTATTTGTTATTTTTCATACTAAAAAATATAGTGTGGACAGGAAAAAATATGCGTAAATATTAATATATCTACTGGATATTATAGATGTCAATAAGTTACATCTATATATTGTTCATAGATTATGCTTTATACATCCATTATCTGTTGGTGCTGTGGGAGGACAAGTCGTTTAGTTGCAAATGTCCTACTAAATGGTTAAAACAAAAAAAAATACAAGACATAATCGGCTCTGCATCGAAGATAATAAGAAAAACGAATGATTGTTTCTTATCAATTTATCGATTTAATTCAAATCATTAACACTTCAAATCACTTTCAACATCTATTTAATAGTTACTAATTTTAAACTATTAAAATAAAAATAATGTTCTTAATTATTCAGAATCTCCATCGGATTCGTCGTTATGCCATCCTATACTTAGAGAAATAGCTTTTTTCCAATCATTATATTTCAATAGTTGTTCTGCAATAGAAATTCATACTATTTTATTATATTATAGCTAATACAAATGCGGTCATTTTTATTGGCCTTAATATTCTTATTTGGCATTAGGCTAATATAAGGAGAATGTGTTAAATACAACATTTACCTTGTGTAGATATAGTTGAAGTAAAAGTATCGGATACAGGTGCTGATTTGATGTTGTGCACATCCCAAATGCCAATTGCAAAACCAGCAGCCAACGCTGCACCCATGGCAGTAGTTTCGACCATTTTTGGACGTACTGTTTTTTTTTTTATAAACATTGGTTTTACATTGAATAAATAATATTCTTTAGATTAAAAATCTAAGGAGACATTATTATATCGTATAATATTTATGTTGGGTCAAGGTCTATTCAAATGAATTTTAATTAAACAAAATCACTATTTCTTTTTGGAAGTATCAATCAGTACTATTAAATAAATAGTATTTTATAGTAGTTTTGGAATTTATGCAATAGCGTAAGCTATTTTGCACTATGTCAAGAATCAAACCGATGAACAGTGGATCGAAATTATAGGTATGTGGCCGAAATTATTTTATTATTGAAAATGGTTCAAATAGTACTAAAAAACACATAACACGATAAAATACAGTTTAAAAATGTTTGATTTATTGTTTTTATTTATTTATTTTTTTATATTTGGACCACAATATCTTCCAAACCGCTGAACCGATTCCTTAATGTAACAAGTCTATAGATTGGAAAACTTAAGAGGTGGACAATTTTTTTTTATTTCACTTCTGTAGGGGTAATTTTAGAGCTTAAGGTCTATAAAATTGGACTGAAGGTAAAACTCCTGTGCCCCGGGGCCTCTAAGTTCTTGCAGGCCTGACAGGAGTTAGGACGACCCTGCCCGTTAAAACTATTACATTTCTTTAGAATAAACTGATAGAATATTCAAATTGAAAGTTGCAATAGTCGGGTGCCTCCATCATTCCTTTGTGTTTGAAGAAATTTCGTTTTTACTACTTTTGAATATTTTATAAATATTAAATATATTTCTAATCGAAGATAAGAAATACATTTAAAGATATGTTTCAAACAATTTTTTTTACTTTTAGAATTTTTATACCGGCTGGGTTTTTTGGTTGTTACATTTTTTTGTAACTTAAAAAAATAAATAAAAATATGTCCATGAATAGTAGAGGTTTTAACTCAAATGTTTGTTTTGAGTTATATCAAACTTGGTTAATGTACTTATAAGGTTTTAGGGATCATTTGAGTTTGAATTTAAATAAAACTGATTAAACGGCTTAAGTAAAAATTAGAGTAAAACCAGTTAAAAATATGCAAATATATTGCAATAAAAGTTTAAATTTAAAACCGGGGGTTGGATTGTGAACCGTTTGCGCTAAATAACCAGCCTTGGCTTTTCCGCCACTACCGTCGAGTGAGAGTTCCAGATCTCATAAGTAGTTCATTAGATTTTAAAATTGATTTTTTCCCCCATTTTTAGAGCAGAAACTCATAAATGAATTTATTTTTATTTCATCGAATTCGGATCATTATTTTTGGTGAAAAGTAGAACCATATTACATACAATATTATTAAAATTTGTCGATGACCACTAAAACCACAAACATATATATGTAAATAATTAATAAGTATAAAATATGAACTTACCAACAGGTGTTCCGCATAAGTTTGCTAAAATTTGCAAAAAACCATTGCCTACAGACATACCTCCATCAACTTTGAGGACTGTAATTGGCTGCCTAGTATCCAGCTGCATCGATTCTAATACATCTTTTGTCTGGAAACAGACACCTTCAAAGGTTGCTCGGACTAAATGAGCATCTGTAGTATCAAGGGTTAAACCCACAATTGTTCTAAATGTAAAATCATGTCAATCATTTAATTTGCGACAAAACAATTGTTGATGAAAAGTTCTCACCCTCGAGCATCGCTTTTCCAATACGGAGCATATAGCCCAGAGAAAGCAGGAACAAAATGAACTCCGTTAGTTTCGGGTACACTGTCCATCATTTTTGATAAACGATCATAATCGTTTATAATACCCAAAATGTCTTTTAACCATTTTAAAGCAGATCCAGCAACGGCAACAGAACCTTCAAGTGCATAAACTGCTTTGGCATTTTTTCCTAATTTATAAGCGACAGTTGTCAATAAGCCATGCGTGGAAATGAATGCCTATAATAATTTGTTATGCCTTATATTAATTTGTTTAATAGCGCCTAACCTAATATATATATTTATTTATTTTTATACTTCGTGGCCTGTATTATATAACAAGAAACAACCAGTACCAAATGTACTTTTAGTTTGACCAGCTTCGAAACACATTTGGCCAATTAACGCTGCTTGTTGATCTCCTACACACTAATAAATTCGAATTGTCAATCGAGTAGATATATTATTATTAAGTAAAATGCAGTATAGATACCCCAGATATTTTTATCCCATTGAGTGGTCCATCCAATATGTAGCCATAAACTTCTGAACAACTTCTTATTTCTGGTAATAATATTCCATTAGGTAAATTAAAAAACCTGCAGTTAAATAAAAAATATACTGTAATAGTTGAATAACTTGGCTTATTATTCACCTAATTGTAAGTTTAATAATGTTCAAATTACAAATCACACACTCAATTAAACTTTGATCCCATTCCAACGTATGAATGTTCATCAGCATTGTCCGAGAGGCATTTGTAACATCTGTTATGTAAATACCACCATTAATACCACCAGTGAGATTCTAAAATAAAACTCACATTTTTAACATAGTTTAATTAGGGATTATTTTTTTTTTTGTTACAAAAATGTCACGTATTTTTTTGAAGCCTATTTCAATATAGTTGATTTACATATCGTTGAATAATATCTAAATATTAAAAAAAAAAATTAACCAAATTGTTTAATAGGAATTACCCAAATTATCCAAGAATCCATTGTGCCAAACATACATCTTTTTTCTTTTATAGCATTAGCTACTTCTGGTACATTTTCTATCAGCCAAATTATTTTAAATACGCTGAAGTATGGATTCATTGTCAGTCCACACTTTGATTGTAGATACCTTAAATTCATATGTTAAAGTGATTGATTGGAAAACAGTTTTTTAATACCTTGTTAATATTTATAGCTTATTCAATATTCGATATATTTTATTAATAATACTGCACATATATTTTTGAGCACTGAGCAGTCCCTGAAGTGCAAAATCAGACAACACCTTTTAAGAAAGGCGTATAAAGTAAAATATTGTGATCAGTCACTAAAAATCGTGATAATATATCATAGCATTTCTTATAACCTTATTTGTATAAGTCATAAGGCTTTTTCACCAAGTCAACTATAATTTACCAGTACCGTAACACAATTTTAACAAATGTGTTTTGAGTATCTTTTCAGTTGATGTGACTAGTAGGCTATATTTTTTTTGTAATGTGATCTAGTGAAACGTTTTTGAACAGGGGTGTTGACAATTATAATAAGTAATGCAATGTAGTTAATTGTGCAATTAAAAACCTCATGTTCTGAGCTCTAGGGAGATTATGGCATGCAAAAATTAAAGATATCTTTATATTATAAAGAGGTCAGGCGCGGATTCAGGGGAGGCGGTAGGGGCGGCCCCCTACCCCCCGTTGGCTATATCATAGTATTTGCTATTTTAATATTGGGGCAAAGCTTTTGTTTTTTATTGTTCATAAATAAATTTTATGTAATATTACAAATAAAATCTCTATCAGAGTGAACGCAGACTAATATTCAGAATATCAGTACATGACTAGTATTAAAAGTAATATAATAAAGTAAATAATAATATAATTCCAGCAGTTAGAAGCTTTACTAAAATGTATAACGATGTTTGGAACTAACCGTTTTTTTTCATTAACTGTTGTACAATTAGGAATCTCTTTGCGTAAAAATCGATCAACTATTTCTTCAGTTCTAATATCCATCCATACTACAATACAAAGCAGTACAAATATAACATTTAAGAATTTTTAAAATATTCTTACTTATAGCGTTGTACAATGGTTTGCCAGTATTCTTGTCCCAAACTATAGCAGTTTCTCTTTGATTGGCAATTCCTATAGTAGAAATACGTTCGGGTGATATATTCATCGACTTTAGTTTTTCACATGTTACTCTTATTGTTTCTTTGATTTTACACAAAATATAATCTGGATCTTGTTCAACCCATCTTTCTTTGGGGCATATGTTAGTTATATTTAATTGATGGCTAGCTATCGGCAAATAAGTTAGCGATGAAAATACCTGTTAAGTTAGCAATTATTAATAATTTAATATTTTTAGTTATTCGTTTAATTTTTTATCAGTTATTAATTATAATAAACTACAGGAATACTATGCTAGTTACATTTTTCAGGGTACCGTAGCTTTCTATTTTGATTTAAAAGATCGAGAGACTACGTTGCAGTTATTGAATGATCTCAAAACAAAACTCCATTTTATGAGTTACTTAAAGTTAAGTTGAAATTTATTTATTATAAAATTATATATACATATATATATATATATATATTTACATTAGTGTAAGAGTGTAAGTTGGGTAATACGTATAAAGAATAAACATTTATTCTAGGAAAATAACCATAATAGGGACAAAGTTCTTACTTCTTAGCCACCGTAGACTATTAAATATCCTTTATCTACGAGTATAACCTTCTATTTTTCAATTAACATTCCTTTACTTTTCTATTACATTATCCTATATAATATAAGCAATAATTGTATTTATACAATATAATAATAATTGTATATTTTTATTTTTATTCTCAAAACCCAGGCATAGAATTTTTCCAGAAAATTATTATTTAAGGTTTTGGGCATAATGAATCGATTGGTCCGGGTCTCTTTTCTCCAGAAAAATTCAGTTAAGAGCTAAAACAAAGAGCTAAAAATTAAATATTATTATTTTAGCTTTTTGAACCGAGCAACGCATACTAAATATATTATGAACAATTTTTTTTTTTAAAACGTGCTTTTCTAAAAAATAATTTTACTACAAGAACAATTTACAAATCAATTGTAGCACACTTTTTTAAAATGTCAATTACTTTGAAAACAACCGACAATTAACTACAATTTTTAATAATGTTAAACATCTTTAAATGTTGACTAAAAAGAAAAGCGTGGACCCTATTCAACAACGTCCAGAGTTATTAAGTTAAGTATTGTGAAATATATGTGTCACACACTAATGTTGAACCAAATTTAAATTACAAAAAAATTTACAAAATAAAAAAATTATCTGATAAATTTGTTAGAGACTTTGTTGAATAGGGCCCACGATTTTTTTTTTTAGTAAAAAACTAAAATGTTTAACATTATTTAAAAAAATTCTAGTTAATTTTCGCTTATTTTTTAAATAATTGACATTTTAAAAAAATGTGCTACAATTGATTGGTAAATTGGTCTTTTAGTAAAATTATTTGTTACTTTTTAGTTCACTTTTTTACTTTTTTTTAGAAAAGCGTGTTTTTAAAAAATAAAAAATTTGAATTTTAAAATTTATTTTTTTTACTTTTTAGTATTATTAAAGGTACTTAATAATTGTGAATATACTACTAAATTAATTTTGGAAGATATGAAAAAAAGGACATTTTAGTGAAATGACCCTGTGTACGGCTATCTAGATGTCCGAGTCCCTATATTATTACAGGAAATTGTCATCCGAGATGAGTGTCTGTGCCAAATTTCAGCCCTTTACGACATCGGTCTGGCTTTAATGAACTATTATAATATTAGAATTTAGCGAGAAATGCTAATAACATTAGCATAACATAATATAGTATATTATAATATTCGTAGCGTGAAATGAATAAACAAAAGTTATTTTTAAATCATATAAATAAATATACATACTATAAAACGTGTACTGCTAGTGCCTTCATCAATAGAACCAACTAATTGTTCATCAGACATCTTAAAATTAAAAGTCAAATAACAAACATTAACAATTCTGCATTAAATTTTAATAAAATATTTTTGATGCTCAAGTACAGATTGATTCTGTTACAACAAAAGCATATCCAATTGAATTCCAATGGTCTATGAAATAATAATACATTTAAAAAACTCGTTAAAAACAAATCCATGTTATCTTCTATTATTTTATTGTTTTAATGGTTATAAATGTGATGATAACAATAATAATAATAACATCTATTTAGTTTAAAGTACATTTCATAAATCTAAATAAACCTTTATTAAGTTGTTTTAGAAATAATTACCAAGTAATTTGTTTTCTACTCAACACAAGCGTCAGTACCTATTATAGTTAAGTTTAAAACACAGATTACTGTATTAATCACTTCTACAGTAACCTGTATATAGATAATTAAAACGAACAATTAATTTTTTTTTTATTTATCTGAGGTACATCACTTAAAAAATTTATACGATCAGCGTAAAACAAACAATATTTAGTTAACCTTTCTTATCATATTATATGTAAAATATATCTACAGTCATATAGGCTTAAAAGTACGAAAATGCTTTTAGAAATATAAATAAACATCATTACAAATTTTAATTTGTAGTACAGTAAATGAAGTTGGTTAAAAACAATATATGACCAGTCAACATATCTGGCCACACATACGTCCACAGGGTGGCCGACATGTGACTAAAACCAACATATGGCATGCGACACATCATTTAATATAAAATAAGTCTAAGGACACCACTAATTTCAGAATAAAATTCTAACCCAAAATTATGTGTCACATGCCATATGTTGGTTTTGGTCACATGCCGGCCATTCAAATCTCAATAGACGCAAGTGTGGTCAGATACCAAAAAATCATGTTACATATCAATTCAACAAGATTCTCCTGATTTCAAATCTGAAATAATTTTTTAATGAGATACGAGTTCTATTTTAAATAATTTTTAAATTAAAAAAAATTAACACTTTTTATTGTACTCATAGAGCATCCTGAATGTCTCATTTGAAGCTCGGTAGAACTGTACATCACACCCTATATATATTATATATTTATAAATTTGACATGGCATTGGATAACCGTCATTCGGCTCCAAATATTGAAAAAAAATATCTCTAATTTTTTCAGATTTTTATTTCACTCCCTTGGTCTTCCTGTTTGTTGGTCATGTCAAATTTAAGGACCACCCTATTATATATTACAATAAATATTATACTATTAAAACTTTATCTCTAATTAATTAATATTTAAATCGATTGGATTTACCTACACAACACAGTACTTGGAGTTTATCTACACAATACAGATAACCATATTTTCTATGATGTAAACAATTTTTAATTATGACAATAAATTATAATCATAATTTTGATGTATAATATGTTAATAATAAATAATATGTTGCTATTTTGTACAATCAGATCAAGTATATCTACAATTTTGTTTAAATGATGTAAACATGTTGTATTACGTCATAATGTATATCATTGTAGTTTGTAGGTTGTCTTTTTGTCGATGAGTTTGGCTTAACATAATAGTATTAGGTAACAAAATAATAAACATATGTATACAATTTTTGTTGTTAGTCACTCACCCATAAAATGTCAAATATATACCTACAAAAATGAAAACTATCCTAATCCGATAAACAATAACAAGACACCTAATTTAGGTATTCCTTGTTTATAATTTTGTATAAAAATTATATATTAGTTAAATAATTGTTTTCATCAACTTTTCTTTAAGTACACCTCTATTAATGTACTACATTTTATGAGTCGTTTAAATAGCTAAAGCTCGTACAAAAATCTCGTAAACTATAAATTCCAATTGTTAAACTATTATTAAAAAAATAGGTCATAGTTTAAACATTTAAAATTATGTTGACTAAATTTCTATTACATATTGGTAGCTCTAGCGATTAGCAATTTATTTTCTGGTCTGGTAAATGTCTAAAAACTCATTCTTGCCTTATTACTACCATTGTAGATGTAATTATTTTCTTAATAGTGTGTAGCTAATAATATCAATGTTAACAATTTTTGAAAGAGCATTTCAAAATTACACTTTAACCATATTAACTTTCTAGATTGTTATGCAAGACTTAGATTTAACAGTCAACAGGTATTTAAAAATATTTTAGCTTCGATGCGGAGCTAAGAAGGTAGGTATTGTAATTACAATGATGTGTTTTTTTAAGTTTGTGTCTGGGCCCACGATATTTGTTAAACCACTGTTCCGATTTCTCCGTGTAGTAACTCTATAAAATATAGATTTTATATCGTACCTAAAAGTTACTTTATTGGACCAAAAATAAAAAAATTCACACCTCTCCATTACATTTGAAAAAAACACCAAAACAATTTACATATTTTTCAACTTAAAATTACGATGCTCCGTAGCTCTTTTTAAAATAGTCAAATAAATTCCCAATTTGTATGGAGTATTCTTTAAATATAGTACTATCGACAAACCAAAAAAATATCATAAACCTTTTCCCTTAGAAGTGTTGTACATTTTTTCTTTATTTCACTTTTACAAGCTAAGTTTCATGGATTTAGGTTTGAAAATTAGACCGAAGGTAGATCTAGAATGGAATTCTAACATAATAATATACAAATTTCTCATAAATCTGTAGTCAAACTTTTTTTTTATTAAGGAAAAACTCAAAAAAAAGTAAAAAATTACACTTTGAACTTAGTTTATTTCCAGATTGCTAGGCGTGAGTGAATCAACAGTCAACAGGTAATGAAAATATTTTAATTTTTAATTACCATACATCAGGCACGGCGCCAGAATTTTTTTCTTAGGGGGGCGGGAAAGGTCAAGTGAATTTTTTGGAGGGGCAACCACAATAATTTTACCTACTTCTGTCAATAAAAAACAATTATAATGATTTATCAGTGAATGACTTTAATATTTATAAGTGAAATAGTATAAAATATGAATTTATTACAGATTAAGGGCCAATATATACTAGTGTACAATTTAAGTAAGGCAACTTTTTTAAAAAAGCGTTATTTTTACCTGTCGGCCATCATATAGCTCTTATTGTACTCTATGAAAGTCGAAGTAAAAATGAAGGCTTATAAAACGCCCAACAACCAGTCAGTGGAGATTATAGTTATCGTGTTATACCTACATTCTATTAAACCAAAACAATCCGTCAATAAACACTGAATTTTTGGAAAACACACACACAAACGTAAATATTATAATTATATATATATATATATATATATATACACCAAAACACATAATTATATGGGCGACGGATTATTGATAACCGATTGCAAAAACACTCAAAATATATTGATAAAAATAGGCCACATTTGGTGGCAATGTCATAACTAATAACTAAATTTGTATAGATAAACAGATTTAAATCAAAATAACAATTGTTTTCACAATTTCCGTAATAACTAAATTTGTATATATAAAAATACAGTTATTTAAAATCTGGGTTTTAGGAATAATAATCAAATATTTAAAATTATACTATTTAGCAAAATATCTGGAGGGGCGAGAGAAGGGCAAGAATTTGTTATGAGGGGGCGACCGCCCACCCTCACCCCCCCTTGGCGCCGTCCCTGCTATACATGCATATGTCAATACATTTATATAGAGAGACGATCAATCTGAATCGTATCCACTCTAATACTAAAAATTTCTTTTGAGCACATAATTGTAATTAGGCACAATGCATTTATCAATATTTGTATTTTTATCTGTGAATATTGGACTTCTTTTACTTATCACTACTACTACTAATACTCACGTATATTTTCTTATTGGGCTAATTTATACTGTGATTGGTCTGTTAAAAGTGTTTTTATAAATTTCACTGACTAGTGTCATTTCTCCTTTCAACGATATCTTAAACATGTGAGTCTTGGAGAAAGACAGTTTGTGGCAAGTGCACATATCTCCAAAGAATAAATATCCGGCATAATCACATAAAAAATCATGACTTTTGCTGTTTCTCAAGTTATTGATTTAATCAATATTTATTATTTACCATATTCATTTTAAATTATTCCACCTGATTCACCAAAGTCTCATTATTCTATGCACATTAGGAAAGCAGTGACGTACTATTGATTGATTCTTTAGAATCGGTTAAAAGGTCCAAAATTGTATTAGAAAAAAATGTACACATCAACCTTATATAATATAATACACGAAGGTAAGATTTTTGATAGCTAAAATTTATAATTTTTACATAAAGTTATGTATATACTCATAAGCGTAAATGTTAGGTCAAGTATTTTTTTTTACAATTTACTAAATTTTCGGTATCAACATTATAAAAATACCGATAAATGTTAACAACTAAATGTATATAATATACAACTAAATGTACAAAAAAAAATTAACATTTTTAACTATACAATTTTTTTTTAAAACTCTTCGTCTTCTCCATCGTCTTCATCGTTATGCCATCCGATACTTCGAGAAATAGCTTTTTTCCATTCGCTATACTTCAATAGTTGTTCTTAAATATGAAATTTAAATTATTTTAGTATGTTAGGTCTATTAAGGTCAATACAAATGGGATCATTTATTATAATGGCTTCATTATTCTTATTTCGGATAAGAACAAGAAATATTAAGGTAATAAATAATCCCAAAACCACCATTTTAATGTTAGAACAAAATTTACCTTGTTTAGATAAAGATGACACAAAAGTATCCGATACTGATTTGATGTTGTGCATATCCCAAATGCCAATTGCAAAACCAGCAGCCAACGCTGCACCCATGGCAGTAGTTTCAACCATTTGTGGACGTACTATTTTTTTTTTTAAATATATAAACATTTCAAAAAAGATATTCTTTATAAAAGGTGTCTCAAAAAGAACGCCGGATTTGAAAAAGCAACCATTTTGTTGTTGTTAGAAGCAATGTTTTTGCCATAGCCCTTAATCCTTATACTACTAGACAGAGCATCCGGGTTGGATGCGTGGGTTGGTGCGAGCGCGACTATTGTCGTAGCAGTGAAACCACTGCGCAAAGTATTAATTATTGTTCAATGAATTGTACAACATTATTTTGTTTTGTCTCTTATATTTTTAGCTTTGGGTATTGTGAAGACGTCTCAATAAACATTTGTGTAAAGATTAGTACAACATGCAATAACTTTATAATAAGACTTCATAAAAAAAGTACTCACAAGTGGAATATTCTTCCAATGTTACAATAAATACATACTGCAATACAAACTAAACACTTTCTTATACAAGTTAAATTTTTAATGACCGAAAAATAGCCGAGACATATCATACAATAATTTTTAAACCGTGCACTATATTTCTTAAACTGGGAACTTAATTGCCATCATCATCGAGTACCGCCGCCAGCGCAGCACGTTGGCTCGCTGGAACTACATGCATGCTCCGTCTAGTAGTGTAAGGTCTATAGTTTTTGCGACATTTGTAATCTGTTATCATTGTGGTTTTGTGATGAAGAGGGGTTCAAGGGCGTTCAGGAATTTTGCTATCTTGTGTTGCACCACTTTCTTAAAATTTCTAAAAATCGCAAAAACAACGCTGTTAACAAAAAAAAAAAAAGTAGCCTTTTCAAATCCGGCGTTTTTTTTGAGACACCCTTTAGTTTGAAAATCTAAAAAACATTATTATATTGTATATATATAATAATATATGTATTATATAGTTATATATATTTATGTTGGGTACAAAATTGATACTTAATCATTAAGGATTTATTTAAATTTTACTTAATTAAACAAAGACAAGTTACCAGTAGGGGGGGGGGTGGTTAAATCCCCCAAAGCAAAAAATTGTGAATAAATAATATATTATAGGTATTTATTGTATAATTGTTATAATGTTACTCTCTGAAGTAATTTAGAACTTGAAGTAAACAAATATATTAATTAATAAATAATTATATTTTAACTTTTAAGTGTTTAGTGTTTTGTACAGTTTTGACTTTTGTTAACTATTAAATGCTCAAACGCATACCTATTCTGATATTAAAAATACGAATTTACAATAATTTTATCTACCTACCTATTTTACAGTAAACTGTTTAAGAAGATATACACATAACTGATAACACAATAATAACTATTGTGATTATTAGTTTTTATTAATTAATATATTATCAGAGATGGGCAAAATAGTTACCAAAAAGCATTTCAAATGCAAAATTGCATTTAAAATCAGGAGTAAAAATGTGTAAGGAAATTTTCGAATTATCATTCGTGTAAAGAAACGTTTTTTCAAACCGGTTTCAAAAACGTTTTTACACCATGTTTAAAATAGTCAAAATAAACACAAAATGTATAAGTAAAATTATTTGTTGAAAGTATTCAATTTGGAACTTACGATTTTATCGAAGCTAAAAATATATAATAAAATTTTGTATTTTTTAATTAGGGGAAGGTAGGGGAATCGCGGCCAACTAAGCAAGAATTAAAATATCTTCGGAACTATAGGTCCAGAATTTTCGTTATTTCTTGAAATCTAACATCGAGTTTTTTTTTCGAAAAAATATTCCAACAAATCATTTAATTGATAATTATTTTTTGGTGGGAAAAAAGTGGTTTATCATTTGGAAACATCTGGTTAGGAAGTATTATTTTTTTACACCCCCCCCCCCCAGAGCAAGATTGAATGTACGCCACCGCAAGTTACTATTTATTGTTTAACATTTACGACACCCGACATTATTGTAACATGGATATGTGACCAAAATTATTTTAAACAGTATTAACAAACATATAACACAATAAAATCTCTATAAAAAATGTAAGACATTTTTAAATAAACAGTATTATTATTAACTATTCGTTATCATCTGACACTATAAAAGGGTTTGCTCGGCAAAACCTATTACAGGATATTATTCTTCAGTCTTTATTGTCAGTTGAAACTTTTTGAATATATACATATATGTTAGAGTGGTCGATTTTCTAATTTTACCTCAACGCCCCCTCTAAAAAGTTTCTAAGTACAATAAAAATAAGATGAAAATAAAAAATTGAAAAATATTAATTTTAACCCGTGTCCCACAAGAGTTGAAGTTGAAATGGGATTTAACATAGAATTTTGACACTTGTGCACAAATCAATGCATAACTTTTTTCCTACTCTTTAGTTTGAGCTGAAGTTATGATAATATTGTACCTCGGAGTCTGTTGAACATGTACACCATACCTATAAGTTCATACCTGTTTAATTGTTGTCAGATAATGAAAGTTTAACAAAATATAGTCATTTTTTTGGTACTTTTTCCAATAACATTGTATTTAATGTACCCGAGAGATGTGGCTTGACTCAGAAACATAATCTATCATAATTTTTGGTAACAAAAATTAATAGACTCAACTGGGTCATTAACACAATGTTCAAAATAATTAATAAAATTAACAGCTATGTAAAAAGTTTAAATCACAATCCTAGCAAAACGAATATAGTTGCCAGTACTGTTATCATCACATACGTCATCTGCCGTCCCCGCCATATTCTCTAGGCATCACCCGGCAATCAGGACGTCCTCTAGATTTTTAAGTCGAAATTATATTATTATTTAATATAAAACGTAAAACAATCCTATCTCTTGGTGTTCCCTCTTGTTTGAAAATTAGCTAAAAAAGTACCAAAAAAACGCCTATATATTGTTAAATTTTTATTTTCTGACAGCAATTTTGACAGGTATGAACTTATAGGTATGGTGTACGTGTTCAACAGACTCCAAGGTATAATACTATCAAAACTTCAGCGCAAACTAAGGGGTAGGAAAAATGTTATACATTGATTTGTTCATGAGTGTCGAAATCCTATGTTAAACCCCATTTAAACTTCAACCCTTGTGGAACACGGTTCGAAAATCTACTTTCTAAGGATCACCCTAATATATAGATCTATATATATATATATATATATATATATGTATATAAAAAACTATAACATATGAACTTACCAACAGGCGTTCCACATAAGTCTGCTAGAATTTGCAAAAAACCATTACCTACAGTCATACCTCCATCAACTTTGAGGGTTGTAATTGGCTGCCTAGTATCCCACTGCATCGATTCTAATACATCTTTTGTCTGGAAACAGACACCTTCAATGGTTGCTCGGACTAAATGAGCATCTGTAGTATCAAGGGTTAAACCCACAATTGTTCTAAAAGTAAAATCATGTCAATCATTTAATTTGCGACAAAACAATTGTTGATGAAAAGTTCTCACCCTCGTGCATCGCTTTTCCAATACGGAGCATATAGCCCAGAGAAAGCAGGAACAAAATGAACTCCGTTTGTATCAGGCACACTGTCCACCAGTGTTGACAAACGATCGTAATCTTCTATTATACCCAAATTGTCTTTTAACCATTTTAAAGCAGCTCCAGCAACGGCAACAGAACCTTCAAGTGCATAAACTGCTTTGGCATTTTTTCCTAATTTATAAGCGACTGTTGTCAATAGACCATGTGTAGAAATTACTGCCTATAATAATTAATGTCAGTAATTGTTTTTTTTTCTATAGTGATTAAATTTATAAATTATTTTAGATTGTATCCATAAATAATTTTTTTTTATGTAATACTCATTAGGCTACAATCGATAGTAGTCTATTCAAATAAGAAATCCCTAAATTTAAGTATTTTTTTGAATGTTTTTTTTTAACATTAGAAATATTAATACTTCATTTCTTAACTTGATAATTATTCCAAATTTATACAAATTAAAAAAGATTCTTAAAGCTGTGAAATATTATGAAATTTTACAATAACATTTGTTTTAATCAAAATACCCATATGTTAATCAAATGCAAAAAAAAAGAAAAAAGAAAAGTAAGTACAAGATCCGAAATTTTAGAGATTTCTTATTTACATAGAGTTCTATAATTTAAAACGTAGTAAAACCAAAAACGAAAAAACTGTTTTTTAAATTACAAACTAAAATAAATATTAATTATTTAAATATAAATTAGTTTGGACCAAAACATGTTTTTCTTGTAAGAGTATGGTTTATTTTAGTAAAAACTATTTTTTAACTTCTCGCATTTTGATAAAATTATTTTAGGGTTTACTAGTTTTTAGTAGATAAAATACACTAGAGAAATTGTAGTTGAAAATTGTCAGCATAAAAAAAAAAAAATTTAACTAGTTTGATATTTATGAACTATATTAAATTTTTGTTTGAGTGAAAAAATAAGTATTGATAATCTATTTATTATTCTATGCAAAAGTTAAAAAAGTTATTTTATAAACAAGGTTATATTGGATGATTTAGTATACTCAATCATTTCTTATAATTAGGTCTGTATCACCATCAATATTATTTTTTTTCAAATAAACCTCAAAGTTAAAACTTAAGTTGAAAAAAATGGTTTGGTACACCCTAATATGATAAAAATATTTGTATTACTTTGTGGCCTGTATTATATAGCAAGAAACAACCAGTACCAAATGTACTTTTAATTTGACCAGCTTCAAAACACATTTGACCAATTAGTGCTGCTTGTTGATCTCCTACACACTAATAAAATCCAATTGTCAATCCAGTAAATTATTAAGTAAAATTCATTGTAGAAGGAAATTTACTCCCGATATTGTTTTCCCATTGAGTGGTCCATCACATATGTAGCCATAAATTTCTGAACAACTTCTTATTTCTGGTAATAATATTCCATTAGGTAACTTAAAATACCTGTAAATGAACAAAAATTATAACTAAGTCATTATTCTCCTAATTGTATGTTTAAAAATGTTCAAATTACAAATCACATACTCAATTAAACTTTGATCCCATTCCAACATATGAATGTTCATCAGCATTGTCCGAGAGGCATTTGTAACATCTGTTATGTAAATACCACCATTAATACCACCAGTGAGATTCTAAAATAAAATTAAAATTAATAATTTATTTTAGTTCTAAAATAGTTAAGAGATTGTTTTACTATATGTACAAAAATGTCATATTTTTTTTGTGACAAAAATTTATACATTTCAAAAAATCTGGTTTACATATCGTTGAATAATATCTTAATATTATAAAAATAATAAAAAATAAATTAACCTAATTGTTAAATAGGAATTACCCAAATTATCCAAGAATCCATTGTGCCAAACATACATCTTTTTTCTTCTATAGCATTAGCTACTTCTGGGACATTTTCTATCAGCCAAATTATTTTAAATACGCTGAAGTATGGATTCATTGTCAATCCACTTTTTGATTGTAGCTGCCTAGAATTTATAGCCATATTATACAAACAAATATGTTCATGTTAAAGAGTTTAATGGGAAAAATAGTTTATTTGATTGTAATACTTTTTGTTTTTTTTTAAATGATTTGTTAATAAAACTGAACAGAGTTAAATAAAGCTCCGAGATGATTATGGCGTGCAAAAACTAAAGAGACCTTTATATTAAAAAGAGGTACTAGGTAAAAATTATAATTAGTAACTTCATAAACTTATTTGTATTAGTCATAAGGATTTTTCACCAAGTCAACTATAATATACCTGTACCGTAACACAATTTTAACAAATGTGTTTTGAGTATCTTTTCAGTTATTGTGATTTTTTTTTTTATAATGCGATCTAGTGAGAATTTATTGAACACGGGAGTTGAAAATTATAATAAGTAATGCAATGTAGTTAATTGTGCAATTTTAAACCTTGTGTTACAGTAAGAATACATCAAAATTTATGACAAATCTGATATTTGGTTTTGTTCTTAATAATAATACTGAACAAAGTATTATAAAGCTATGAGAAGATTATGGCGTGCAAAAATTAAAGAGATCTTTATATAATAAAGAGATACTGTTATTGAAAACGATAGTTTATTATCTGTGAATTAGTGTAACTAGCATAGCAATTATAATAAGTAATGCAAAGTAATTAAGGTTGCAATTAAAATCCACAGGTTACATTAATAATATATCACAATTTATGACAAATTTAATATTTGGATTTGTTCTTGCCAATAAAACACATCATTCTGATATTATTTATCAAAACCAACTAGGAAGTGTATTTATGTTATGGTAAAATTATCATATATATATGATTTATATAATAAACGAGCAGCCATACCCAAAATTTTTTGAAATATATGCAATATTTCTGAAATCAAATGAGAATTTCAGCACATGACAAGTAATAAAAGTAATATAATAAAGTAAATAATAATATAAGTTTAGCAGTTAGAAGCTTTACTAAAATGTATAACGATGTTTGGAACTAACCGTTTTTTTTCATCAACTGTTGTACAATTAGGAATATCTTTGTTTAAAAATCTATCAACTATTTCTTCGGTTCTAACATCCATCCATACTATAATACAAAGCAGTATAAATATAACAATTGAGAATATTTAAAATATTCTTACTAATAGCGTTGTACAATGGTTTTCCAGTGTTTTTGTCCCAAACTAGAGTAGTTTCTCTTTGATTTGTAATTCCTACAGTTACAATACGTTCAGGTGATATATTCATCGACTTCAGTTTTTCACATGTTACACTTATTGTTTCCTTAATTTTGCACAAAATATCAACTGGATCTTGTTCAATCCATCCTTCATTTAAACATATATTAGTTGTATTTATTTGATGACTAGCTAATGGCAAATGAGTTTCTGATGAGAATACCTGTTAAGTTAATAAATAATAAGAATTTACCATTTGTTAAATTATTTGTCTAATATTTTACTGTTAATTAAGGAAATAATTACACAGAAACACGTGGCTGATTAAGGATTTTATAATATATTTATAGTTGAAGACTTAAGAGACTTTTTTTCCCTTAAGGCACATTCTTAATAGTTGTTATATTAATGATATTAAAATATTGAATATATTATTTGTATAATGAAACATAAGAGATGCATAGTCAGCTGCAAATGGCATTCAGTTCTGCACCTGCCATTAAGCTAACCTAATTTTAGGAACAAGAGCATGTCTCAATTTAACACATGTATATTGGGTGGTCCTGAAACGGGACATGGCATTGAATGACCGCCATTCAGGCTTTAAATGTTAAAAAAATATTTGAACTTGTGTGTAAAATTAAAAAATTTTCTATATAATTGTAAATTTGACATGCAAATATTTTTTTAACATTTGGAGCTGATGAGGGAATTTCACAAAACCCAATATAAAGGCAACGTAAGTTGAAGATGCGTTAAAAAGAAAAGAAAAATGAAAAGTGATAATAATATGCACTTGAATGAAGAATCAAATTAAATACTGATTACATTAATATTTATAGCGTAAAAAAATAAATATGAAACTTTGAAATACATACTATGAAACGTGTACTGCTAGTGCCTTCATCAATAGAACCAACCAATTGTTCATTAGACGCAGACATCTTAAAATAAAAAGTAAAATTACAAACATTAACAATTTTGCATTCAATTTTTATTAAAAATGTTTTGGTGCATAAATACAAGTTGATCTGATGATACTATGAAATAATATTAAATAAAACAAATTATAAAAACAAATCCCATGTTATCTGTCATTATTTTAATGGTTATAAATGTAATAATAATAATATGTGATTAGGTTGAAGTACAAAATACAAAACTATAAATGCTTTTAATACGTGGTTCTTGTTAATTACCTTGTAACTTTGTATATAATACAAAGGTTACATATTTCATACTACATTAATCTTTCTTATCTTTATATATGTAATATGTCAATAAAATGTGCCCATGGGTTTGAAACATAAATAGTTTCTGAAAAATTAAATTTAAATGATTTAAAATTAAAATTGAACTGATAAACGAAGTCGGTTAAAACAGTTGGGATCACTCTGTAAATTTTACAGAATTAAAATATTTATAATTTACTTAAAAAATTGAAGTCCTATCAAAATAATATGACTACTAATGTCTTCATATAAAACTCTTTTACTTTTCACAGTGTAACATTTATTTCATTATTTTGAATTATATAAGATTTCCCTCTAGTTAGATTTCTTTAATATACTTTGTGTCTTGGACTTTTATATAGTCTTTCAAATGGACACAGCATAGAACTACACATATTATGTACATAATCTGGTTTATTTGTTTTTAAAAAGTTGGTTTTCAACTCTACGTGTAGTGTATTCTTATTATCAGCAGTGCAAATATAAACATTTTTCATTACAAAAAAAATAAAATTATCTGAGAAACTATTACGGTAATCATTAGCCTGTTCAAGCATTATTTCAATAGAAGCATAACTATTAAACATAACATTAAAAATATTTATATATAATTAATTATATACAAAAGCAGAAGGATTAACTATTGTTAACTCGTTCGCTGCGTTTGACGCCTACAGGCGTCATTTTGTTCGTTTGTATGTGCGGATGACGCCTTGAGGCGTCATTTCTGTATTTATTTCCAATGTTATTTTATTCGGACAGCGTTATGTATTTATCTTTTATTATAGGTCAGCGTTGTTCAGTGTAAATTTTTGGTTTTAGAAGTATATATATATTACGATAAAATGTTTGTCAATTGGCGTCATAAAAAAAAATACGTAATTTTGACCAGCGCTGGGGTATGTGTATACAAAATTGAACTGCAGCGAACGTGTTAAATGAAATATTGCAGCCATATTAAAGTTTATTAGCTATAATCCTTCAAAAATCACAAAAGTTTAATGCCAGCATAAGTTTAACGATAAATTTGTCATTACCTAGCAATCTATCGTGAATGTCATACTTTATAAAACACAATTATGTACAGCTCGCGTCATAGCTGTCATAACTTGCGACTGAAAGCGAAAATTTAAAATCCAGTTACATTAGGAACATTTTTTTGGTACATTTGGAGCCCTGTCCGTCTATGATCAAAAATTTCAGATTTCTGCATGCTGTAGATTTGGCTTGACACCGCATTAAAAAATACACACAGGTAACATAATAAATGCAATATTATTTGTTTGTTTTATAAACATGTTTAATATTAAATTGATTAATAGTTTATAAATGACAGCCACACAATATTAATTATAGGTACTTCAGAACGGCCTACAATAAAATTAAAGGCCCTCAGCAAATCATACTGTGTTTCCCGTCATTGCTGGATTCTCAAAACATCAAATTTAAAAAAAATGCAGCAGTAAAACATCATTTGTACATAATATCATTTAGAAGTTAAGCCTAGGTAGTATATATGCATATTATAATATGTTGCTTACACTGAAAAAAATATACCTTTCTATCAAAAGAATCTACCTACATTAAATTTACATAAATTCTTACTTTAGATATTTTATTAAACAACAAATGTTTTTAAGATCATTTTTCCAAGTAACAATATAACTATGAAATAATAAAATGTATAGGGGAAGATGGGCTTGATTTGAATGAAAATCATATTTTTCATAATTATATTTTACGGCAAATTTAAAGTTTGAGAATCCAACCTGTAGTTTAAAGTTTTGTACAAATATAATATTATTCCCAACTTCACCAATCTATCAATTTTTAAATAAATCTTTATAAAAAGGGCAGATTTGAATACATCTAATAAATTTATTAAAATATGTACAAAGCAATTAATTTACTTTATATAAAGCTATTTTTTTCTTTATTTTAAGAAAATATAAAACAAAAATGTAATATTTCATAATGTGTATTTGGTTTTTAACTAATTTTTCTTAAAATTTAAGCAATTTTTAATACTTAACTTAGAAAGGAACATCGTACTTCATTAATTTTGTTTCGGTTCTTAACTCAAACTGTTTTATAACTTTGGGAACTATCAACTAAGTAATTTATGAATGAAATTCAAATCTACCTACTTCATAATTGTTAATATTTAGTACTATATCGAAAAAAAAATAGTTAGATACATCGATAAAAAACAACATTAGGTATGTATATAAATGATTTTCTACTTACGATCAATGTCTAATGAAGTGGCAAGCAAAAAAATTCTTACGAATATAATTTAAAAAAATTTGAGACTGACATTTTTATATTTCTTTAACACATAATCAGTCAGAATCCGCTGATAACACAACACACTTGACCCTTAATTTTTTTTCTCAATAAATTCAGCATAGTGAAAAATATTTTATATCAGCGTTATTTAAATATACTCGTAGTCAAATTTACCTCATCTTCCCAGTTCCCTTATAACAAATATTAATTTAAAATTATAAAGAATTTATTTGGCGATTCCCAACCTTTCTATCTATCTCTTTCTATCAATATTGATCCTTCGGTGGTATAGGCGGGGTATGTGGAAAGCGCAGTCCATTTCTTTATAGATCTATGGCAAAAACACTTTGTAAACCCTTAAGAGCTAAGAACCTCAATTCAAAATTGTATGCTTGTATGAATATAAATATGTTTACTCGCGCCGTCGATTATGATTGATGATATCCTCCGCACAGAACAATTATTCTCTGATTGTGTTATCCGTATATTTGCATTATTATTATTATTCTGAAATCTGTTGTCACTTATTATCACTTCTTATCATGAACTTTTTATCAATTTATAGAAATAAATCCACTGATTTACTGGATTTAAATCATGCGTCTAGTGAAAACAAAAAAATGGATAATTCACTTAATAACTAATTAACAATTATAAATTATAATGTCAACCATGGAAGTAAGTTAAATCTTCAATTTATTCCACAATATGTATTAACTGCTCAAATAACCTGTACAAACTACCTTTATATTTTATAGTAATTTGTGCTTATCTAATACAACTAAATTGCATTTTACAGGAAAACGAAGTATTGGACTTTAATTATACTTTGAAGTATACACTTTTATTGAATAAATTGAACGCAGATAATAAATTGTTAGCGGCTTTGAAAATTTCTGCAGCGTAAGTGTGTATAAAAATTATTTTATTTTTCTATTAAATTAGCTTAGGTATAAGATTATTGTGTATGGCCTAAAACACATAATAGAATAATGTTTTTATTTCATATGCTCCCCAGGCTGTACTAAAAATGGAAACTTTTAATGATTTATTAAAGTAGAATAGATCAATCGATTGATCAAGGTTGTTATGTAGCGTTTAAGGAACCACAAAATTGTTTATTTTTATAACAAAATTTAATTAATTAATTGATATAAACATGTATGGAACTCGTTAATTTAATTTATATTATGTACATTATAATAATACTCATAGGTATATCATAGGTAATTAAGAGAATGATGTAATGAACTTATATTTTTATTATTAGTTAGTAGTTCATCTTTAGTTTATATGTATAAGTATGACATTTTTTAAATTTTTTATGCTTGATAACTTAGTTGTTTCTTGTTTTTAATTAGCTTAAAGTAAATATGCCAAAAATGTACAATATTGTTTTAATTATTTTAGATCAAAACAAGAAATCAGTCAAATAGATCAAGAAAAGCAATGTCCATATTGCTTAATATCATGGACAGAAGGTCAATTTACTATCAAAACTATTCCTTGTAGTCTTAATGTGAAGAAAAAAAATAAAAAACCACCAAAAGTGGTATCACTTCAGCGATTGTTTAAAATGGTATGTTTTTAAAAATTAATATAATTTAAATTAAGAGAATGCTACACACCGGTAATTAAACTGCAAAAAATGGTTTTGTTGATATTATGTGTGAATGGAATTTACAGTAACCGTATAAAGTTCTTACAATGGACAAAAAAAAAACTTTATCATAGCCTCTTTAGTTTTTTACTTAAACAGAAATAGAAACTTAAAGAGAATCAAAATTATTTATTTGTAAAGGTTAATTTATTTACCTTTTTTTCATTTTATTTATAAACAAATAATAATATAAATATCATAAAAATAAAAAAGCCACGGGATAAATAAAGTTCTTCATTATACATTGTGGAAGTTTGGTTATTTTACTGCTAATACTGGTCTCACATCCTGCTCAAAGCAGTTTTGATGAGAAAAACATTTGAATTTATCCTATAGAAAAAAATATGGAAATCAGTAAAGAATCCTTAATACTATATTACTTAATATACATATTATTTTGTGAAAAATTGCTTTTACATTACTCTTTAAAAATGAATAGTGTAGCATGCTCTTACGTATCCTTTTAATCATGCAATATTCTACTTTTTGAATTTTAATTATTTATGTGCATTTTTTAGGTAGCCAAATGTACGGTTTGTCATAATACAACAAATTTAGTTTTCAATAAAAATAAGTTACCTAAAGAAAACCGGAGATTTAAAAATAACAAAAAAGAAGAAGTAAATCTTAACCCAACTAAAAACTCTATTGACACTATTAAAAAGACCAAAAAAAAAAAGAAGAAAAAACCGTATGCTGGTTTAAATCCATTAGTATTTAAAAATCCAAATTATTGTAAGAAAAAGTAAATTATCTTATGAGCAATAAAGAAACAATCTTTAAAGTTTATGTTTAAGTATAATTCGAATTTATAGTTAGGAAATATATATTATAACATGTATTTCTTAAGAAAACATGTTTAAAATTTACTTTGATATAATAACAACAATAAATAAACAGTAGTCTACTAGACACTAACATATTATGCTTTTACATAAAGACGAACACTATAGAACTGCTATATTAAATATACAGTCAAATAAAGTTCATATTTTGAAATTAAAAATGTTTGACACCTTGAAAAAAAATTTGATTTTATTCAACAATTTCTGTAATAATTTATGCACAATTATTAATGCTTCACAGTTTAGTAAAGTAAAAACAATAAAATAACTTCCTTTAAAAACTGAATTCAAAATTATTTATTTAATTTCCAAATACAACTTTTGAAATAAGCATTTTGTGAATGGTTCATCTCCCAGACAAGATTCTATAAGAAATTACTAGTTTAAACTAACAGGAAATCTTCATCAACAATGTATACATGTAATTATTATTTATATATATAATAACATGTCCTGGCTGATTCATTATCATCTACCCGTAGCCAGAACCACTGAAGCTATGAGTATGAAATTTAGTCAGTAGTTTAGTTTTATGATGTAGAGACTTATTGAGAAAGGATTTACCAAAATTCAACGAAATTAGTTTTCGTAATTATCATTATAAACAGTGTCAACAACTCGATCAGACCATTTTTTCACGAATTTATAACAAATCAAATTGAAATATAAAAAATTGCAATAATTGGTGATCTCTACTTTTAAAAGTGAAGAAGTGAACTTTTTCACCCCCTCTCCATTGCTCAAATTAGATAATTTTTTTTACTAATTGATAGACTTGTTCATCAACTATCAAGTATACTAATCCAGCAGTTTTAAAGTTAGATACTGATAAAAAAAAACAAAAAACATCACCTTTGCATTGAAAACTAAATTAATTAAATTCAAAAATTCCAAGTATAAACCGTCTAAGCCCCGATGGGTGGCAATAACGCAAGTTGAACGTAAGAAAGAGAGAGATTCGTTATTGGAACTCTATATCTCGATAGCAATTTTTTTACACACTGCGCAGAAAACTGAGTAACCCAACTAATTTTCAAAAATTGTAGCGTATCCCTATACATTTTAAGTTGGTACTGAGTGTTTTAGGGGTAAAAAAATTACGGATATGTTCTTTTTTTATAGTAAAAACGTCTACTACTTTTATTTTTCCAATTTATGTACTGTATATTTGTAATATGTACTGTATATTAATTATATTCAATACGTATATACCTAATATAAACATACTTAGTAAAATTAACTAAAACTAAAATAGTAATATATATATATTTATATATTATTTTAATTTTTCAAGTTTATTTCACTAAATTACTCAATTTAAATGTAAAACTTACAATACAAATGTACAAAAGTCAAGACATAACGGAAATAAAGACAATGATAACTTTAATATTACTCAAAATAATATACAAATAAGTACTATTATTATATCGACTATGTCATTTCCCCTCCTCCCGGTTATTTTACATCATCATGAAATTTACACATATATGCGTACTTCGTAAATAACAAAAAAATGAAAAAAATTCTCAGATACCTGTTGACTGTTCACTCTTCCATAGCAACCTATCAAGGTATTGACACAATAAAAAACTCATCAATACATCATTGGAAAACAGTTTTTATTTAGTTTATTTTGTAAATATTCTTAAGGGAAAAAAGTAATTAGAAACCGGTAGGCATATTTTAAATGTTTACAAATATATTTTAGATATTTAATCATAAATAATCATATCTGCATTACATAATCTGACATTGGGTTCACATATTTTACTGATAACACGCGCTTCACTTATGAGTGAATTGTATAATTATATATAAAAAACATTATGCATACCTTGAACTTTGAAGTACTAATTACAACGATGCATTGTTTATACAAAATAAAATATTTAAAAAATTATACTATTTTGTTTTTTGTTTTTACCCCCTCACAACTTAATTTTTTTGATAGCAAATTTTAATACTTAAATAGTAACGCATACATTGTATTAAGTTTTTGTATTAAAATAATGTACTAAACAATTTGACTGGTTGATAACCAGTTTTGAACAACTATTGTAAAAGTTATAAAAGTTGAAGAAAACAAAAGAAGAAGTGCGGTTGGGAAGTGCGTGCAGATAAAAAATATTTTAAACTCCACCTTTCCTCCTGCCTTAAACTTGAAACTCCAATAACTTCAAAAATAGTGAAACAAAACTGGTTATCGACCAGTCAAATTATTTTGTACATTATTTTCAATTTAAAAAGTTAATAAACTGTAAGCGTTACCATTTCAAAGTTGCTATCAAAAAACTAAGTTGGGAGAAGGGGGTAAAAACAAAAAAAAAGTGGGGATAACCATTGTTCAACAGAATGACAAAAATCTGGAGACTCACCAGCCAAAAGTGACCTATGCACCGAAGACCATACGGCCAACTACAAAGGTTGTAAAATCTATAAAAAAAAATAGTAACTATAATAAAATCAAAAATCAATAAAGACCTTAATCGGATTAAACCCAAAACAAACAGTGAACTTGCTACTCAATTCCAATTAATTGACCCACTCTCTACCGCACATAAGCAGATTCAAATATTCAATCCTTGTCATCACAAGCCCGTTCATACGCATCAGTACTTGGGAATGTCAATACAGGTCAAACAACGTCTCTCCCGATCGTCGATCCCCTCTCAAAGTTTCTGGACGAATTTAGAGCGATCATCAATTATTCGTGATTGATTTCCCTTCTAACTTCCACTCTGCAGGTATTAATGGCAGTCTACAAAATAGTAGACCACTCATTATCTAAGAAGTGTCATTTTTTTCTCATATCATATTATCATACATATATTTTTCTTTTATTATTATTATTTATGAATAGCTGTTGTAGATTTTATTTCAGTTAAATTATTGTATTTTCTCTTTTAATTTTATTAAGAAAATTAATTTTAATAATATCTATAACTGTCGAGCTGTAATACTTTTTGGTGAAAACTAATAATAATAATAATAATAAAACAAATTTATGTATGTATATCTTATTATTATTATTAATTCACTTACCTTGAAGTAGTCTTCCATTACATTTCTGTGGGCTTACGATTATATGAGTTACCATTATCCAATAAAATTGCATGTACTTATGCATTGACTTAATAATAATAATTTAATATTATTATTTAATAAAATTAATAATAATAGAATCAGACTTATAAAGTAATCAGGCATGCATGTACTGTGTTCTTGCTGTAAGAGCAACATGAGCACGTAGCAATGAAATGTGTTTATACTCAAAAGAAATTACTTTTATTGGTTGGATGAATTTAGTTTGGGAGTTACAGACATTTAAAGATCGCGTGTAATGCAGGATATTGAAATTTTATGCTTAATCTATTAAAATTGTTTAAAATGGCATAAGCTAACTTAAGCTAACTTAAAATGGCTAACGAGAATGATGTAAATGTATACGATTTAAAATAATGGAGTTTACAAGAGAACGGTCTCTTTTTAATTAAAAAATTATGTCATTTAATGTTCTTCCGAACACACGAAAGTAATGACATGAATTTAGTGAGAAAAAAATCGTTTGCAACTACAGGTAACATTTTTTTTTTAAAAATGAGCAATTTGTTCGTTTTAAATTTGATTTGTATTATTTATAATACTGTTTTATTGCGTCATTTTTAAAAATGTCAACTTCTTTGAAAACAACAGAAAATTAACTACAATTTTAAATAATGTTAAACATCTTTAATTTTTGACTAAAAAAAAAACGTGGGCCCTATTCAACAAAGTCCAAATTTATTGACTTAAGATAAAATTTCAGATAATGTTTTGTTGTAATTTAAATTTGGTTCAATATTAGTGTGTGATACATACATTTCATAATACTTAACTCAATGAATTTGGATTTGTTAAATAGGGCCCACGTTTTTCTTTTTAGTCAAAATCGGAAAGTGGGTTAAATAAATTTTGCAAGATTTAAAATACATACGTGTTATAGGTAAACGACCCAAGTCAGACAACGATTCTATCAGTCGTTGTACATATGTGAAAAATAAGACAATATCTTATTTCTTATTAGCGTTAGAATTTTAATTTTTGAATATTCCAAATTTTAGACTTAGTCGGTTTTTCCCGAGCACCATTTAAATTTATTTAATGCGCATATTCACAGTATAACAGGCGGCCGTTATGTCGAGAGCAGCGATCGACGGACGAAGTACCCAGCAGGCGCGCGCGTATGTCGATATCGACGAACTTTAAAAGTCTATAACTTCCAAAATAAGTGCGAGTGGCGCAAAATTTTTACATATTCGTAATCAAATTTAAAAGTACTATAGGTCTAAAAAAAAAATGGGTGTAAAATAGATTTTATTACCGTAAATTGATGAGGACACAGAAGTGACAAGTCTTGTTTTGGACCAGCGTAGTGGCGTGTTACAATTGATTCGGTGATGAAAACTAAGGTTCTTAATATTGTAACTCCACGTATAAGATTTATAAAAAAATTAGTTGACACAAAACGTTATTTTTAAAAGCTATACCTACTTATGACACACAGTGCTTATACAATATTATTTACACCTCAATCAATAACGATTAAAGTGTATAATTATAGTTATAGACCTATTGTTTTTACAAAAAGGCACTTACTATGATAATATCTAAAGGATTATGTTTTTATTTAATATTAAGAACGGTGTGATAAAACCCAGACAGAAAAAAATATTAATGTTTACAAAATTTTATCAAACAGATTTTTAATATCTTTCAATCATGTTTGGGCTGATTAAATGTTTCAAAAATATTGCTTACAGTAATATTGTACTGTTAAGTACTTTCTAGTATTAAACAAATATGTCTAATGTATTTCTTTACAGTTTGCTGGCTTTGCAAAACAAACTATGATTCGTTCCTCGATTTTTTGTCGACAATATCCTATGATGTAGTACACA